CAATAACAACGGCACGGAGCCAGCGTCGGCCCCGATTGGGCCCAAGTCTACAGTCGCTGCGGTCGCGAACGCGACCCCCGTCCTCCCCAACGCCCAGTTACAGGCGCTCATGGCGAGTCTAGACGCAAACGCTATCGCCAATGTCGCCAAGAGCCCTAGCACCGGCGGCGCGAGTCCCGTTCCTACGCCGCCTGCCGCGGGCCCACCGCCGGGCATGCCGCCCTTCGCGGGCAGTCTCGGCCCAACGCCTCCGGCCGCGCCGTATCAGCAGCAGGGGTACGGCTACTCGCCGTACGGCGCGCCGGGGCAGAGTCCGTACGATGCGCCCGGTCGCAGTCCTTATGACACGCAACAGACCCCCAACCCGTATCAGCAGGGACGGAGCCCATATGATCCCGCACAGGCGGGCCGGAGCCCGTACGATCCCTACGAACAGAATGACGGGGTATACAGCCCCAGTCGTTGGGGACAGTGAACAGCACCCCACTCCCATTGAAAAGTCAAGCTAAGCAGAAGTGAATCGTTACCATTCAGAGATATATGTACTATGCATTTTGGGCCATCGCCTGTACTACTGCCACTTCTGTATGCAGTTCTGCGAGTTGAGCAGACGAGTTCAGAGGACCAAAAGCATGCTATGCAGTTACGTGTGAGCCCTTACTCCTCCTTCACCTGCGCCCCGTTCGTAGGCTCCTTCATTACCTCAGGCTGGTTCCACACAAACCGTCGCTCGGTGATGAGCACCTCGCGCTCCTCGCGCACAGTCTGACCCAGCTCGTTCAGGAACGTCCGGCCCTTGGTCAGCTTGTGCGTCCCGGTCAGCCTCTCAGCACGGGCCTCAACACCTCCCAACGGGGCGCTGACGACCTGGCTCGTCTTCGCAATCGTCGGTTCGTGCTCGGTCCACGGTCTGATGTCAGCTACGCCGGCTGCCCCCTTGCTCACGCATTGCTATCCAAAGACTTGAGGAGCTTGAGCCCTTCGCCCGTCCTCGCCTTTGGCTGGGTCTTGCCCTTCTTCCGGCCATAGATTTGCACCTCGTCCATATCCTCGCTAAGGTCAGGGAGTTCATCCTCAACTCTCCACTTCAGCTCGTGCGCAAGACTGAGCGGCTCGGGAATGTCAGGAGGGATGCGGCCGTGGATCATCTTGCGAATCTTCTCCTCCGTCTCCTCGTTTCCCATCCGCTTCACTTGGTCAATGAGGAACTGCGCGAGTACCCTCAGGCCGCGCAGGACGTGTTCGCTCGGCACCTTCGCGGCAGCCTTGCCGTTGGCTGCTGTGGGTCTGTACCGCCGCGCCGCGCGCAAGTTTTCGACGTGCCGCGTCGCGACGTGCCAGCATAGGGTGTCGAAGTAAGGGAAACGGAAACGTTGCGGTACCTTTGTGTCGATCTCGATTTGGCGGAGGCGGAGCTGAGTGGGTATGTCGTAGCTGTGCACAAAGTTGCCGCCGAAGACTATTGAATCTACTGGAGTAAAGACAGCGTGAATGTAGCCGGCGGGGATGATCCTGAAGGTTAGCTAGAGGCGCGTGAAAGGCAGCTTACATGGTGTCTCCCGCTACGAGCGTGACCTTGCGCACCTCGTCGCAGAGATCAGGCAGCCAGGTCGTAGACTGGAGTTCGTGAGACCCAGACCCTACGCTGTCAGTTTCAACTTGGGGTGTAACACTCACACTGTGCATAAGCAGCGAGGTTGGCCTCAGTCGGTCGGATGAAGAAGAACACCTGCAGTCAGCTACACGAGCCACAGCGAAGCTTACTTTTGAGCCCGTGTGGATGTGGTAGTACACCGAGCTGGCGGCAAAGTCGACGTGCCAGTCCGTCCACGAGTCTTTTGTGCCCATCTGAGAGTTAGTCAATCACCGACAACCGAACTCACCAGGCAGTACAGCTGTACCTTAGGCCATTCGCTCTTCGCCTTGCCTTTAAGGTCGTGTCCATTCTGGGTCGAATTGGCAGCCCGCATCGCCTCCTCCTTCCCTCCCGGGAACGGCCAGTAATTCTCCACCCAGTCGATGTCGCTGACGATGCTGGGCGGCCGCACCTGCTTGGCGAGCTCGGTCTCCGAGATCTCGAGCGAGATGATGTTGTACACCTTGCTTGAACCTGGTTCGCCGGCTTGCCGCGCGCGGATATAGTCCGCCCACTTGTGTAGGGGCCACTGTGAGGACTGTTGCGTATTGACGTCTGCCCGTCAGCTGTGACTCTTACATCAATGAAGTTCACCAATAACGTCAACCATCTTCTCAGGACCGACCAGGCGCGAGACATCGTCGACGGTCAGGCTCGGGCCGGGAACGTTCCCGCCCATGGAAGAAAGACCACCATTCTCGGGGCGGACCACGAGTGGCTCACGCGTTGGGCCGTAGAACAATGTTGGTGGCAGTTCGTTAACCGTCTCACCATCCAGCCACGGACGCCGCAGGAGTTCTCCGGGCACTCGAGGGAAATTGTCAGGCTTGATAACACGACCATGTTTCTTGGGGTCTTTGATCAGATCGATCCAGCCCTTGGTCGGCGTTGCATTGTGGTGGTGCATGTTCCAGTAGTCGGGACGCTCGAGGGCTGCCTTGCGTTTTGGGCGGCCTTCTGCCGCGGCGGCGTCATGGCCGGTGGAGGTTGAAGCTTGGCTACCTTCCGTCGACATTCGCGCTCGTTTGGATGGGGACGCAGCACCGGAAGGACGTTTGCGTCGCTTCAGAGTCGTGGCGAGAGGCTTCTTCCCCGCCGCGTCCGCTGACGCGGCAATGCACTCCGGGCAGTACCTATGGTCAATCGTGGACTGAAGTGATCAGACGACTCACCATTTCGACACTGGGTCCGTCCAGTCAAACCATGGACCGGCATCTCCCATAGCTAGCATCTGCTCCCTCAGCTCTGATGGTATCGTGAGCTCGAAGTGCCTTGGGGACTTGGCGACGCATACGGAATGGAGCCATTTGTCGCACTTGGAGCAAGCAATCCATTCGAGATCATCGGCAGAGTCGGCTGCGATGGAGGAGGGTTTGGCTGGCGGCCCTGTGGAAGCGCATAGATCGCAAGTCTCTGGCTCTTCGGCCATGTCGTGCGCGAGGATCCTGTGCGGAGGTCGTGTTCTTGTGACTAGGAGGGGACTGGACAACGGTGATCGGTGATCCAACGACCGGGATCTCGAGAGGAGTCGGCAATAACAACGGCACGGAGCCAAATTCGCAAGTGCGTCATGGACGTCAAAGTCTTAAAGCGATAGAGGAATCTCTCTTCCTTCATCTCTGTCTCTACTTACGCCAAGTTCACGCAACGCAACGCAGCACTGTTACACGGTGCCCCTCGACAACATCTCTCGCCTCTCCCATTTATATGAGTTCCACATCGCCTGCATCTGAAAACGAAACCACACAACCCTCACAAACGCCGCCGATCGAGACGCAGTACAATTCTGAAGATGACCTCTACCCCGACGTTCCGTCCTCTGCAGCGAACGCTCGCCCCGCTCGCAGCAAGAAAACTCCAAAGAAGGGATTGAAGCATCCATCGTCAAAAGGCAAGGCCAAGGACACCTCTGACGAGGAAGACACAGGCGGTGGCCATTGGTAGGTTTGAATTGCCGACGTTAAGGAACGTGCTATACCGATCACTGACATCACGTTTGCAGCTACTTGCTGGACCTTCCCTCGGATGTCCTCCACCTGCTCCTAGTCCGCCTCCCACCTCGCAGCCTCCTACAGCTGGGAGCGACCTGCAAGCTGCTCAATGAAATGCTAGAGAGTGAGGCTGTCTGGCGTCGCTGCTACATCAACAGGTTCCTGTACGATGGAGCCGCAAACTCGAGTCGTGAAAGGGAGGAGATCCGCGTTCTCGTGCAAGGATGTAAAGGCGTCGGCGGACGCGGTTGGAAGAAAGAGGCACTGTCTCGCGAGGCCATGATTGAGTGAGCTCACCTCGGGTGCTGCGGCTTAACTGACATACAGGCGCTGGATGGCTTCTAAGTCTCCCAATCTCGCCCATATGCCAATGGTCGTGATGGTGCACTCGATGTCGCTGTCCTATCCTCCGAACCTGAATACAAAGCGCGGTATTCCAGGCAAGGTCTCGGGAGGCTCTGGATCTGGTGCTGCCTCGCCTTCCCCCTCGACACCCACCCCTGGCCAGAAACTCTCGCATCGCCAAAAGTACGAGGCTATGATTGCCGTCTCTACCCGCCCTCCCCCCGTGCTTTACAGTGCTGGTATGGAAGTCGGAGCTCTCGTGAAGAGTGACCCAATCACTGGGAAGGTGTCGAAGGGCTTCTGGGGTCCGGGTCCCGATGGTGAGTGTTCTCGGGCTGTACATTGCTGACCTCAGCAAACTTCCACCTGCGTCCTCACTGGAATCCCACGCCTCAGCCATCAGCTATCTTCATGCCGAAGCGTTCCCAGACTCACATCCTGTGGGGTCTCATTACCGGGTTAACTGTCCACACAACGATTCAGTCGCGATCCCACGCAACCCATGGCGGCCGTGCGACATCGGATAACGTGACCTCGGCCATCGACGACATGCATGAAGGAGCCATCGTCTCTATTCATCAGCCAGAGTCAACAGGTACCGATCCTCTAAAGTGGGTCACTGGTGGTGATGACGGCCGTCTCAAGTACTGGCGTCTTAACCCTGGTACGGGACGCAGCGGAAAGAAGAGCGCAACGGACGTACCGGCGACGATCACGTGTGTCTTCTCTTCCGAGCCTGTCGAGGAGCCCATTGTCGAGCGTGTAGAGGAGAGCCGCCTTCGACAGATGGCGCATCCAGACGCCATCATCAAGGTTGCATGTGACGTGGAGAAGGACGTTGTCTGCGGAGTCACAGAGGACGGCGATCTGCGACTGTGGTTCAACGCGTCAACTGCTCCTCGCGAAGTTCGCGTAGACGTTGGCTCGGAACGAGAGCTCAGCGGAGTTCGGCAGCTGGAGCTCTTCTGCCGCGAGACGAAGGACGGATTGGTCGCTTCGGTTTTGATCCATCACCGCAAGAACGCGATGTTCGCTCGGTACGATATCTCTCTCAACGACAATGGCAAGGAAACGATCAGGACGATCTTCTACAGCACCCCAGCCGAGGCACCTATCACAGCTATCAACGCCAATCTTCTCCCCGTGCCGAGCATCTCAAAGCCTCCCAAGGCTGAGCAGAGCATGTTCGCCCGTATCATTACCCCGGCGTCCGCCTCTGCCAGCGCATCGGGTGTCACATCCCCCCTGTTGTCGCCGGACCCCGAGCCGAAGAAGATACAGGATGAACCCCACTTTGGCGGATTCATCATGGGTGGCGACAATGACGGCTATGCTTACATCTGGGAGTGGGATGGCGTGCCTTACAACGACGTGATCCAGCCGATGAGGAGCTGGCAAGCTGCCGAGGGGCGTATTACCGCCGTAGAGTACTCCTGCGGCATTGCGGCCACGGGAAGGTAAGTTGATCCGATTGTGGATGGAACTCACACCAGCTACGATGGACACGTCGATGTGTTCGACCCCTTGCCTCTGGAACCTGAACGGTTGCGCTCTTTCCGCCCTCCAGGACACCTTCGCCCCGGTGACCTAATGGTGGCTCAGAGCGACGAGTACCGCGCGCGCTACTATAACACGAACCAGATCCTTCTGGATAACGATCTTGTCATCGCCGCCATCGGCAGGAGTGTCATGTCATGGCGCTCGGGAACGGGCAAGGGCCGCCAGAGTGGAAAGGACAGCGCCGGCCGCAAGGGTGGCAGCAAGAGCCATCACGAGGGCGGTGGTGGTCCCGGAAAGGGACAGCTACGAGGCACAAGAGCTCTGGGTGAGTTGCCTCCTAACCTCTGGGTTGGTATAGCTGACCTCTCAGACCTGCGCGACCTCCATGATGACGCAGTGGACAGCCACTACGAAATCCAGGAAGAGAACGAGGTGTTCCGCCCGCAGACGACAGAGGAGGATGCACAGCGTGCGGCCATGCAGAACCTGGGTCTGGAGGATGGCGACGCCGCGCTCGAGTACGCTCTGATGATGTCTCAGCAGGAGAGCGAGACACCTGCCCCGCAGCCACCCTCGGAATACGACCACAGCGGTGGCGACGAGGACGCAGACCTGCAGTATGCGCTGATGCTGTCGCAGCAGGAGGCGGATGCTGAGGCGGCCCGTCAAGCGCAGCCTGCAGCTCCGGAGCCACCACAGTACAACGAAGACGAGGAAGATGCCGACCTGCAGTATGCGCTGATGCTATCGCGCCAGGAGGCGGAGCAGGCAGAGGCGGAGGGCAGGGGACACTAGATGACGGGATAGATGCAACCTTTCTCAATATGACGCACCCACGCTGATCACAGCTCGGGGTCTGGACTCACTGTGTAACTGACCTGCGACCGTCCCTCGGCGCTGTCAGTCTCGTGGGCAGATTCTTGGGGGGATCTGGGGTGCACCAGCCACCTCGACGCACATCAGTAGCACAAGTCCGGAATCATGGGGACATGAGCCCCCGCGTGCGACTGAATTGCGCTTGATGCAGAGATGCATGTGTCTGTCGTCAGCTCTTCCGTCAGTTGGGAGACAAAAGGAAGGAGAAGATCCGGAACCAAAGCTCAAGACGCTGTCAACCAGTCGAAAGAAGGGGGGTGAGAAGCACGGTGAGGTACGTGAGGTGCAGCACGTTGCGGCTCCTGATCTAGTCTCTGGGAGCGCGACTGTGAGTTGGACAACATAGCAGGGGTGCACGGTGAATGTCTCAAACTGTGAAGCAACCCCGACCTCGTTGGCAGCGTACCAGACACGCTGTGACAATGTTTCCGACCCTCCGGCCGCGTGTTGAACGTGTGGTGAGAGATTGCTCATCGGACAGGCTCGTCGGACACGCAACACCGGAGACGAGGTCCCGGTGCCAGCGGATGCCGGTGTGCCCGAAGACAGAGCATGTCCGACGCACAACGAGTCCGGTGCACTCGTCGATAAATGTCAGGAGTCGAGCTCTCATGGGGAACTTGCTTGTCGGAACGGACAGACCACGAGACGTCATGAAGGTCATGAAGATGTCATGAGGTCCGGCGCTGTCATGAGCGGCGCAGGGCTCGACAGAGGTACAGAGGGGCGGGATATGCATGAATGGTGTCTTCTCGTACATCCTTGTTCTTCTCATGGGTCCAGTACAGAGCGTGCAGAACATGCACAGAGGATGATGGAGGAGGGCCAGGACGTCAGGAAGGAAGAGCAAGAAAGAGGGCGCACCCCTCGACAATTCAACGAACGAACTTGGGCCGATCCTTAACCTGAGATTGCCACGATGGGTGGGCCACTTCGCCATGCGAGCGTCAGGACGAGGCGTGCAGCGCACAGACGATGGGCTGATGGCGGTCCGTGGCTGGCTGAACCTCCCCTCCTGCCCTCCCTCGCTCATCTAACCCTTACCCTTACCTCGCCTCGATACGCTCACTGACCATTGTCGAAGTGACGACAGACTAGACGTGCTGACACGCTGCGAGTCGAACGCGCCGAACGCGTCGAATCGCGTCGAAGGCAAGGGGCTTTGGCGATCTGGCGGGCTCCTGGCCGCTCCGGGCTCTCCAGCGCCGTCCCCAGCCCCTCCTCCCTCCTTGTTCCTCGTCTTCAGCACCAGCGTGCTCGTCATCGATGCCTCGATGTCTCGCTGTCTCGCGAGCAAGCGCAAAGCAGGCTCAGAGCAGGACAACAAACTCTGCGACCCAACCCGGGCACTTCGCTATCCCTTATCTTCGGGAACTGGTAATGTCTCAGAACCCTTTGATGTTCCGGCATCAGGCTGAGCATAAACCTGCCAGCGACTCGGGCGAGAGAGGCTGCAGAGCAACAGCAGGCCGCTGCGCTGACCGTTTCCAACCCAAACGAAAACCATCTGGCCGCCAGGAGAGGACTCGAGAAGCTAGGAGCTCGTGGCCAGGGGTTAGCCGGAAGCACGGCAAGAGAGCCCCTGGTCTTCCCCTGCCTACCCCTGGCCTTCCGGCCCCTGCGACCTTCCCTCTTTTCGCTCTTCCTCCTCCTTCTCCCTCAGCTAGTTCTGTCCACTACAAGTTCTGCACTTCTGCGCAGAAAGGAAGCAGACTTATCCCCCCGAGCTCTGTTCCGGAAAGGTTCGCTTCCAAACGCTTCCCTCTCCTCCTCGCCTCGCATGTCCCTAGCGCAGCCAGAGCCGGCCTGCTTGCTGGCAGAACTCAACCATCATCCCTCTTCCCCCTCGCCCCAAGTCTTCTCTCGAGATGTCTCTCGGCTCAGTCTAGCTTGCGTACGTCACTGCCGACCCTCGCTCTCGTGTCCTCCTTCTGATGCAGAGAAGAAGGGAGGGAGAAAGGGAACCGGGCGGCTCGGGTACAAGGCACGCCGCATCCTCCTGTCGAAGTCCTGAGCAACTGCGCGCCGGCACGAAGACCCGCCGGGGGATTCGTTGACACGACGTCGTAAAACCCACTCCCAGTGCTCGGTACGCTTGGTGCAGAAGCCACACCTTGACTGAACAGGTAATGTTCGCGCTCCGAGGCTTCCGAGAGTTTCGCGAGAGATTCGTACATCCCCTCTCTGATTACAAAGTTTGGTCGCCCGTCATGGTCGTGTCCTCTGTTGCTCGATCGTTGGGCACGGCAGCAGAGCGTATTGCTATTGCGTCTTTGCTTCTCAATCGGACCCAGGAGAGTTAAGGTACTGATTACGATCGCGTGTTTGGGAGTTTATTGCTCATTCTCCGTTGTCTCCGTGTCGCCTGTTTCTTGGTTCTCCACCGGGTTCTCCGGGTTGCGAGAGTTTTGCACCACTGGAGGGGAATCGGGGCACGGCAGAGAGGGGAAGGAGGGAGGGTACGCCAGCCATCAATCGCGAAGCAGTGGGAAGCAGTACCGTCTTTGCCCGTTTACAGCATGGCCCATTGACTGGTGCGTGCCGGATTACAGCATGTCCTCGCGTGGTCATGGAGTTAGTGTGCTGCTCTCACCCCTCTCGGCTCTTCTCAGTGCGCCTACAGGATAAGACGAAGAGATGGGATAGGTCAGTCACCTTGAAAGCGTTCTTTCTCCTGGCTGTTAGGTTGTTAGCGCGCAGAGGAGCAAGAGCTGGTTCGCTCGCAGTGCTCTAAGGCTTTGCTGGCGGATGGAGGGATGAATTGTCTCGTCGCGGGTAGCGGAACGGTGGTTTGGACCCTGACCCTGCAGGCACGCTCAGGCACGACCAGGTCATGTTTGAGCATGGGGAGGGAAGAGAGCGGAGGCAAATCGCGCTTGATTTGTTGTTGCTATACCTGGAGAGAGTGGAAGAGAGCATAGTGCGTTTCCTAAACCTTGGTCCGGACATCGTCAACGACACCATCACGACTCTAGTCTTCCACGACCTTGCTCTCTCCTCGTCAGTGTCCATTCCCCAGACCTAGCTTGTCTAGACCTCTTAGACTCCTCCTGGCTAGCCTCAACTCTCTCGCGATACACTCGACAAACACCAGCCTTGTGCCTTCCCCCGACACACCAACACATCTACCTTTACGCGCATCCTGACACAAACGTTGTCAACATCTCCCTCCGCCCGATATTGCTACTGGAACAACGTCCCGACCGCTTCCCCGGCCTCTTACGTTTGTCTTGCCGGACCCCTTACACCACCCTCCCCTCTCCCTTGCTCTTGACTCCAACCACTCCACAGTGCAAGACCCGAGCCCTCTGAGCCTTCCATAATTACGCTTCTCCCCCTCTCCCCTCACTGAACCCTGTGTCTTCCCTCGCCTCCGTCTGGCCTCGCTGCAAGCCCGCAGCGGCTTCTTCGTCTGCCCGCCTGCCAGCCTGGCTCGACCTCGACCACCTCGCAAACACACTGCAGATCCTATATTTCGCCTGGAAGCACTCCTACACGTAAACGATGACCGATCCTGCCTCTGCTCGACGACGGAACAAGGGACTCGCCGTGTCCTTCGCCGACACTGAACCTCCATCTGTCACTTCATCTTCATCTGCAAACACCACTCCGTCCAACTCTCCTTCACTCCGAGCCAACGACGACGTCCGCGGTCGCTCCTTGCGCACCTACGCACGGCGTAAACATCACCAACCGCGCACTTCCGCGACGTCGACTGCGAGCGATATCGACTCCAACCGCAGACCCGCAGGCGCCGAGGCCTCTGCCACCGTCATGGAGTCCGTCGCAGGTCCATCAGATGAGAAGCGATGGAGTGTGCCGTATGATGCGTCTGACGGCGAGGAGGTCCAGGTGCACATCCACACGCCGGCGCGCAGACACGGACGAGGCTCGCCGTCGCCGTCTCGACGAGGTCAGTATAGCCCGAAAACAGCAACCAGCCTTTTGCGCTCATTACGGAAGCGCTAACTGTTTGCAGATCTGCCCCGCCTGGACTTCTCGCGCACCAATACACCACTCCGCGCCAAGGCATTCGCGTCAACGCCACTGAAGAGCGCGCTTGCCTCGAGCACCTCTTCGTCTTCAACAGCGTCCCCTTCCGCCCGTGACAGCTTCCACCACCGCGATACTTTGTACGCCGAGGACGACAGCCCAGGCAAGATGGACCGACCAGGGCGGCAAATCAGTCTGAACGGATTAGACTTTTTCGACGCTGCGGAACTGGAGAAGGTTGCAAACATCGATGCGACCGAGGGGCTTGAAACACTGGCCGAGGCGGAGGAGCCGCCAAACGCCGTCGACATTCTGCGCCCGGCCGACATGAACCGGAGCGCGGCGCCCGCGATGGGAACACCGCCGTCACAACCGTACCGCCCGCGATCGTTCGTCCGTGGATTACCACGGAGTGGCAGCGAGAGTAGCTTCGTATCCGCCCTCAGCGTCAAGGGTGTGCTGTGCCGCGCTGAGGCGTCGTACACGGACGTCCTGGATGCCTACACTGCCGATACCGAGGGCGAAGACGAGAGCGTGCTTGGGGGTGACGTCGGGTATGAGTCGCAGGGTGACGCGGACGCCGTCGACCTCACGTTAGACTTGTAAGAGTTGGGCACTGCAGTTCAAGCTGACAACTCAGTGACGGGTTGTCAATTGTCACCAACAGGAGCGCTAAGAACGTCGTTGACTTGTCTGACCCGCCGCGCACACCTCGCGCTGTTAGCGCTGGCTTTGCAGAGGCCATGAGGTGAGCTAATGGTGAATGAAGATAGGCTGACATTGCAGTGCACACGCTTCCTCGTCCTCATCGTCCCCGCCTACGACTGTGCCGAGTGTGCCGGGGACGCCAGTGCAGGAGCTGAATGAGATCTCGGATTCGGACGACTGGGTGCCACAAGCGCCACGATCGGTCCGAAGACGCCGAATTATGGATTCAGACGACGAGGCGCCGCTACCTGAGCCCAAGACGATTTCGCAGATGCTCATCCTCAGCGACGGCGACTCACCCCTTCACACACGAACGCGGTTACGAACGCCCGAGGTTGCGCAACGCCGGAACCGTCTGATGGGAACACCGGCGGCGCTGCAGAAGCTGTTGGACCTGGACGCGAGCGATGGCGAGGAAGACTCGTTCGAGACGGCGCCACCTGGCGACGACACGTACGGCTCACTAAAGGACTTTATCGTGGACGACGACGATGTCAGCGACTATGGCGAGAACGAGTGCATTGACCTCCGACCGGGATCACGGGGCTCGCCGATCGAGCTGATGGATTCGGACGAGGACGACGATGATAACGCGGGGATCATCAGCTACTCGCCGACACCTGGGCCGTTGGCGCTGCCCGACATCGGTGAGCTGAACCTGGACGACAGCGACGATGAGGCGGTCCTTGCTCCACGGAAACAGATCGTACCTCCGCCACGGGCTAGTTCGACGCAATGGTCGAAGAAGGAGTGGACGTCACGGCGAGAAGTCATCGCCAACCAGCTCTTTGCCGAACTCGACGCCAAGGTGTTTGACTCGCGGCTAGGTGCCAAGGGTGCCGGCGCGTATGTCGAGTGGAACAACCGTCTCTTAACCACGGCGGGGACGGCGCACAAATCCCGCTCCGGCTCGGGGTACACATACAAGATCAAGCTGAGTGACAAGGTGTGCACGGGCGAGGCGCAGATCGCCTCTACGCTCGCGCACGAGATGTGCCACCTTGCTTGCTGGATCATCAGCAACGAGCACAAGTCGCCACACGGCCGCGTCTTCAAATCCTGGGGCGCCAAAGTCATGCGCTATCGCCCCGACATCGAGGTGACAACGCGGCACTCGTACGAGATTGAGTACAAGTTTGAGTGGGAGTGCAGCAACGCTGTCTGTGGCAAAGTCTACAGGCGGCACAGCAAGAGCATCGACCCGACTCGCCAGGTCTGCGGCAGCTGTAAGGGCCGCCTCGTCCCGCGGTTCCAGACGACGACGTCGCCCTTCCAGGTGTACCTCAAGAACAACATGGCACTGGCCAAGAGCGCACTCCCCGGCGCATCGCACGGAGACGTCATGCGTGCGTTGTCGAAGCGTTGGGCCGATGCGGCCGGCGCAAGCGAGGAGGAGCACGTGCAGTACTGGCGCTACGCGGCAAGTGCCGCGGGCACTAGCGGAGTGAGCGGAGCAGCCGGCGTGACAGTCCGAGCATAGCGGGAGCGGGCTCCCGGACAATCATCTTATAATTCTGTCATATACGTGAAATGTATCAAGTTGTTGCCATCCCGTGTTTCCTCATTTGGCGGCGTCATGCGTAGTGGGTGCGGCGTCGGCTGCGTGAGACAGGACGCCGCGCTGCTGATCGCCGAGCCAGGCACGGCCCCTCGCTTCCCTCCTCCCTCCACACGTTCGGACCAAATATTCGAGACCCTCGTCGTCTTCATCATCACACCCTCCTCACCCTCCCCACCACCTCAGCATGCGCGCCACGCCTCTCCGAACAATGCGCGCAACCTCCTTGCTCCGGAGCATCCACCCCGTAACCCAAGGCCCGGCACTGACGTACGCCCTCGGTCTGTCGTACGCAGCAAAGCAATCCCCGCCCTTCGTGCCCTCCTCGTACCAACCCGGGTCAGCAGGGTTCGCGGGCCAAAAGACGCCCCTGGGACGATGGGTCGATCTCATGAAGAGTCTGCCTGCCGGTCGAGGAGAATTGAGAAAGACGAATGTGGAAGAGGGGCAGGAAGATCTCAGTGATGGAGGCTGGGGCATCGATACGGCTTGGCAGGTGCGGAAATGGGGCGCGGGAGAGGATTTCTTTGCTGTTGTTGATGGGGGGAACTTTGTGAGTCATCCCGAGTACTGCGAGCGGACACCGGAGGTGGTCGCGAGCCCCCGAGGCTGATGGGACGGCCTAGGGTCGTCTCCAACGGCCCAAGATCCGCCTCATATCGCCCCCTTCTCGTCGTGGCCGGAGGACTCCTAGCCGGAGGACTCGTTTTCCACCACAGCTCACTAATCCCGCGACTCGAGCTGACTTCCAGACGCACGTCGCGCTCTCCGACGGCGTAGGCGGCTGGGCGCCCGACTACGACCCGTCGCTGTACAGCCAAGCGCTGATGTACCACTACGCGAAAGCGGCGCAGGCGCAGCCATCCATTGCGCCGTGGGAGGGATTGAAGAAGGCGTACGCGGCCGTTGAGGCGGATAAGCACGTCGAGGCCGGGAGCGCGACGGCGTGTGCGTGGAACCTCGCCGAGGACGGGAGCGCGAGGGGTGTAAAGTGAGTGAGCTTGCGGGCGGCCACCGAAGGTGGTCGCGAGTGGGCGTGAGACGGCCGAACTCATTTGGTCGAGAAGGAATGGACTCGAGCAGGACGAGATCCGCGTCTCGTCGTCCGAGTCGTCCGAGACCACTGCCTCACGCACTCGCTTCGCTCGCGCGTGAGTTTGCTAACGCCCACAGCCTCGGCGACTCGGGCTTCTCCGTCATCCGCCGGGACGACAGCGCGTTCCACTCCTCCCCGCAGACGCACTACTTCAACTGTCCCCTGCAGCTGTCCAAGATCCCACCCAAGCTCCGCGGCCAGGGCGTCATCATGGACAAGCCCGAGATGGGCGAGAAGTTCGAGGTCAAGCTTGGGTCCGGGGACGTCATGATTCTCTATGTGAGTAAACTCAAACAGCGAGCGAAGCGAGTTGGAGACGTGGCTGTGGCTGTGTGGTTTTGGCCGAAAACTATCACGCTGTTCAATGAGGGCTTCGTGCACTTCGTGCACTTCGTGCTCAGCTCGCATCTTCGCTGTCGCTCAGATGCTCGTTGCTGACTTTAGTCCGACGGCCTCTCCGACAACCTCCCGATGGAGCACGTGCAGCAGCTGAACACGGCGATCGGCGACCTGCTCCGCTCCGAGGCGAACGTGCACCTGACTTCCGAGGAAAGGGCGCACGAGCACGCGCGCTTGCTCGCCGACGTGCTCGTCGCTGCGGGCCGGAATGCGATGACGCGCACGGGCAAGGAGGAGGGCGGCAAGGGATGGAAGACGCCGTTCGAGATCGAGGCAAAGAAGAACGGCAAGAACTGGCCCGGCGGCAAGATTGACGATGTCTGTGTGCTGGTTGCTGTGGCCAATAACAAGATCTAGAGATAGATGCAGACCTTAGAGGATGAGGGGATGGGGGTGGGAGGGGATATGCTGCATGCTGGTTGGTCTACTGATCTATCGTTGTCGTGGAGGGGTGAGGATGGGGAAGCTCGCTTCGCTCGCGTTATTTCCGGATGAGCTCGAGAAGGAGGGCCCGCGCAGCCTGAGCGTCCGCTGCGCCTCGCGAGTCCTTCATGACCTGGCCCACGAGGCGCATGACGACCTTGTCGTTGCCGCCGCGCACCTTCTTGGCCTCCTTGGGCAGCTTGGCGATGACGGCCTCACAGAGCGCCTTCAGGTCGTCCGCCGACGAGGGCTGGATACCGAGTTCCTCGAGCAGGGGTTCAAGCTTGCCCGCGCCAGACCCGTTCTCGACGACGTGCTTCAGCACACTCCGCGCCGTAGAGCCTGTCAGCTTTCCGCCCTCGACGGCGAGAACGAGCTCCTTCAAAAGTGGGGCAGGGACCACATCTGGCGTCCATTCCCGGCCGGACTTGGTCAGCTGGCCGAGCAGCTCGTGCGTCACCCTGATGTTAGCTCCCGCGACAGCGCTCGCAGCTCGATGGACGTACCAGTTACAAGCCTTCTTGCCGAGTGTCGGCTCCGGCACGACTGCTTCGAAGTAGGCGATGCCGGCACCGCCATACTCGTCCAGACTGAGCAGCGTGTCGACATCGCGCCTGTTCAGGCCGTAGTCTTTCTGCAGCCGCGTATCCGTCTCCCACGGCATCTCCGGCACTTTCTCGCGCAACTTCTCAAGATACGCCTGCGGTCAGCTTACCAGCAGCAGGTCAGAGCAGCTCACCGGTCGGATCGCCAGTGCCGGCAGGTTGTGGTCCGGCATGTAGCGGTAGTCCTCCGCCTCCTCCTTGGAGCGGAGGGAGAAGGTCTCGCCCGTGAGCTCGTTTAGACCCCTCGTCTCCTGCTTCAGAGGGACGCCAGGCTGGCTCTCGTAGTGCGCAATGTGTCGCCGCCGCTCGGCCTCTGAGCCTAGTTAACATGACGACGGAAATAGAACTGACCAATAGCCTGCTGAAGGAATCGCACCGAGTTCACATTCTTGATCTCGCAGCGCGTGTTGAAGGGCTCGCCGGGGCGGCGCACCGAGACATTCGCGTCGACGCGGAGGTTGCCCTGGGCGTTAGTTATTACTCAACAGCCAACGCACCTTCTCCATGTCACCGTCACCGGAGCCGATACGGCGCAGAATACCCTGCAGCTTGCGCACGAAGGCGCCAGCCTCCTCCGCTGATCTGTCCGTTAGCTCTGGCGCAGAATCGGTAGCTCACCGCATGTGCGGTTCCGTGACGATCTCCATGAGCCCCGTGCCCGCACGATTCAGGTCGACCAGCGTCTCCCCCGCTACCGTCATCGACTTGGCCGTGTCCTGCAATCAGCTATGTGGAAACGGTAAGCTCACCTGCTCGATCTGCAGCTGGTGGATGCCAACTGAGAACTCGCGCTCGACACCCTGGTCTCCCGGGGCGAAGTCCACGCTTCCTTTCCGTGCTAACGGGTCTGATTATTAGATCCACCTGCACACAAGGACCTACTATAGTGCTGCGTAATCTGGTAGCTCGGCGGAATATCGTGATAGAAGTAATGTTTCCGATCAAACGTGCTCCGCGGGTTCTGATGTCAGCTACAACATAAGCAAGAACTAGCTTACAATATCACACTTCAAAGCGAGTGCGGTCATGATCGACAGTTTCACAGCTTCCGGATCGATCACCTGACTCGTCAGCTATCAACACTGTCCCCCCCCGCTGTTGTTACGCACAGGCAGTGTTCCCGGAAAGGCGCTGTCGAGCAGCTCGACATGCGTGTTAGGAGGGTCCTCATAAGACGTCTGAGCAACTAAAGTCAGCTAAAATCTCGTCCCCTTTGAGCTCACCCGAGAAAAGCTTCCTTCCCGTCTTCAGCTGCACGTGGATCTCAAGTCCAACAACGAGTTCCCAACCGTCCTCTGAGGTTCCGGCGGCGTTTGATTGAAAGCGGACAGAAGCCCGGAGCGGGAGAGCTGTCCGGTTAAAGAACACTCTTCGTGCTCCCAGTCTCGTACCGCTGAACATGCTGATAGGAGGTTGTTGTCGTTGTTGTGCACGGCAAGCGTCATTGCTGCGAAAGTCGGTCCGCTCTTGACATTGCGACTGACCTCCACCGGCCATCACGAGGTATTTACAGGTGTAAATGATGAGACGAGGACACGTGCTGGTGGCGTGTCAGTGATAAGCGCGTGAGAGTGCGTTGATGCGGGCTTCCTTGGCGTGCTGTCCTGAACCGACCTACACGACGACAACAACACACCACCCACCGTCCAGCACAGGTCACCAGCCAACATGAGTGAGTGAAGCGTCAAGGGAAGGAGCAATGCCGTAGACGAACGGAGATACCACTTGGACCGACCCACTGCGGATTGTGACCTGTCGCCACCAGCGCATTACCAAGTCGGGTTCGAAAACAAGGCTAAATTACCTCCAAGCCTGCGACCCCACGAATGTCATGAAGGGTCCTGACGTCGGGCACCTGGGCACGCGCTGACCACACCACAGGCTACGGCCAAGCACTTGATGCCAACCCGTTCGCGGACAGCGGGTTTGGCCAGCAGTCCAACGCCTCGGCGTTCAGTCTCGAGTCCACCGGCCCGGGACCGAGCGGCGGTGTTGAGAACATTCAGTCCTATGTTGCCGACCATGACCGCCGGGCACGCGAGCTCGAGCAGAAGCAGCGCGAACTTGAGGAGCGCGAGCGGAATCTCCAGCAGAGGGAGCAGGAGGCTGCCCAGTACCGCGCCAACTGGCCGCCTTGTGAGTACCGCGCAGCTGGAGACGGCTGCTGTTGAAGCTGACGACAGTCATGCCGCTGGTCGTGCACTCGCTCGAGTTCGTTCCGACGGAGCACCAGAAGCACGCGAAGCTCATGTACTACTATTGGCTCGAGCTCTTCGCTACCCTCATCTTCAACTTCCTCGGATGCCTGTTCCTCCTGACATCCGGCGAGAATGGCGGAATGTGAGTTACTCCGATCTGTGTGCAGCAGCAACTGACGACTCCAGTGCCGGCCTGTCGGCTTCGCTCGGTTTCCTCGTGTTCATTTCGATCTTCTCGTTCGTGCTCTGGTACTACCCCATCTACAACGGCTGGCGGAGAGTGAACAAGCGCGGCGCCGCGATCCTGTTCTACACGTACTTCATCTTTGGCGGCTTCCACCTCCTGTACTGCCTTTACATGACGATCGGCGCGCCCTGTGAGTAGCGCCCAGCTCTGCGACTCTAGTCTATAGCTGACGGACAGACACGGGTTCTGCCGGCCTCTACAACACAATCGCGAGCTTCGTCGACGGCAAGATCCTGCCCGGAATCTTCGGCATCATCACCTCGATCGGGTGGATCATCCAGCTTGTCGGTGGTCTCGTGCTCTGGAAGCTCGTGTGGAACTTCAAGCGCAACAACGCCGACATCAACTTTGCCAACGCCAAGTCCGAGTTCAACGGCCTCAGTGCCATCTTCAAGATCTTCCGTCGCACCCAGACTGCGAGCAACGTTTAAGCATAACAGCATATCGAACGAACGACTATTCACGAAAACAAAAGAAGAAAGAGGAAGGCGAACGAGTGCGGACGGTAAAGCGAGGCGGTGGCCGCAATGGTCACCTGCCACGCCCGCCCGCACTCCCGCTCGCCGCCAAGTGTACGACTGCTGTGCCGAGTGACTCCTGTATCCTTCAACTGGACTGCTCTGCGGCTGTGAGACTCCATGTACCATGCAATAGATGCACGATAAGAGCAAGAGCGGCGGGTGTCTTTGTTCGACACAACAACGTCGGACAATGCCAAAGTGGCTCTCACAAAGAGGTGTGAGCTGTGCCTCACCCTGCTCACAGGTCATATCCCACTCACAGCTTTCGGATGAACACTGACGAACAGCTGAGACTGTGGCAACACCGCCAGCAGGCCCGAGGATACTTAAGCTGACGCCGCTGTGGGGGCAACGACATCTCCCCTAGCTACTCACAGAACATGACCAACTCACCGCCACCCGACCCGCCTGTGGCACAGGACGAGGACAACTCAAACGCCGCCCAAGACCTGCAGACCCCGACTTTCGGACTCTACCCGCAACCGAGGGCGCTGCCCTACTCCGCGCAGGAAGCCGAGCTTATGGAGGAGACCGACGACTGCACGCGCTGGATCCGATCTCTGAGCATGGACGAGGACGTCTATTCCGTAGTCTCAGATTCGGACGCAGGCTCAAACTCAGGCTCAGGCGAAGAGGTAAGTTCTTCTCTCCGCTGATGCTGCTGCTGCGCTACTGCGCTACGGCGCCGGATACGCCGGATTAGGATTGTTTCCGATGGGCGAATGCACAAGCTGACGCCAGATCGACGCAGAGGGCCTCAAGGTGTACAAAGCGGACACGGCGCGCGAGCTGGAGCTCATCCGCTCCCGCCTCGAGAGCATCCTGACCGTGGGCGGAGCACGCCTCGCCCCCCGTCCCGCGCACCTCTACCCGGCGGAACTGTTCACCACCTTCCTAACCGACTGGGACAACGTGCAGTGGCTCGGCGCGCGGCTGCTCGAGTCCGGGCTCGACCTCGAGTCCAACAACCCCGCCACGTATCGCTACGTTGTGCTTGCGGCCGAGATGATGGAGAGCGATCTCGCCTCCACTGTGGCTAGGCTGATGGAGGACGTGGAGGCGTACTATGCCCAGATTCTGAGGGGGTATGGGCTGTTGATGAGGGAAGAGGAAGGGGAGATCGCCCGCCTGCGCGGAGAAGTTGCCGGAGACATGGGCACGCTTGAGGCGAGGCTCGATATGGCTGTGAGGGAGTTGGACAAGGCGAAAAGGGAGGCGGAGAAGGAGAAGGCGGAGAGGATGGCGCTCGAAACGCTCCTTGGGAGGTTGCCTGAGGACATGCGCAGGGAGCTCGTCTTGGCCAACAGCGTTGCCCTGACACCTGGGCAGAGGGCGAGGTGGGGTATCCCCTGATCTGTAGCTGTAGTCCTCGGCCGTCCCGAGCTCCTCGATCCTCGATGAGGCAGATCACTCTGGAGATCCCATAGAGCATGTATCATCTACATCGCTGCGTTGAAAGCTTCTGGAGCAATCACTCACTAGCTCTTTCTCACTCACACAGGAGAGTAGTCTGATTGGCGGTGTCAACCCAATTGGTCGTCGTGCGCCACTAACGAGGAGCGATAACGTCGCTCAACAGATAGCGATATCCTCCCCAATGACTGCTCTCGCACATGCAGGACAGTCGACAAAGCATTCCGCAATGCAATCAGGCGGACGATTTTGAGGGCAGGCGACAGATATTATCGGCTTGCACTGCAGCCAGGTCTTTCCAAGTTTGTTTACACGTTCTCGAAGTGGGCGTTCAGTGACGTCACAATCGGCCGCAGTCTGTGTTCTCTCTTCGGCGCCGTTCAAACAATGCAGCGGCGCAGCGGCTTCTCCGCGATCACACGGACTGCATTGAAGAGGGGATACGCGTCCGTGCTCGCCCTTCTGTGCTTCCGTCCGGAGCCTGCCCAAGGGGAGTCACGAGGTCCCAATGGCAAGGGGGAAAAGGTTCAGGACCCGGGTCCGAGATCCGGTATGGACACCAGTGTCAGGGGTCCCCGCAGTGGCGTCGCGCCGGCGGCAACTACCTTCGCGCGGGCGTGCCGCATGTGCCGCTGGCAAGTGCCGGGAACCCGCGGATCGCGCGCTTGACTCGACTCTCAGAGTGCGATAGAGATCGCGGCGTCTTCCTCACCTTTGTCGACGTCGCTTCTCACCATCACTCACACCATCGAACATGTCACTCCGCGGTGTCTCGCTTCTCCGTTCTGCGCGCCGCGTCACTTCCATCCGGAGCACAACCGGACCACTCCGCACGCTCGGCGCGCTGGGAGCTACCCGCTCTCACACCACTCGCGACCGATACTTCCTCAAGCCGCTGAAGGAGACCGAGCCAGAGCCTAACTATGAATACCGCTTCCTCGCTGAGCCGGCGACTGTCGAGGTGAGTCTGGGCATGCAGCTGGCTGTACGATTCCAGTGTCCTCACGCTGCATCGGGCTACTGGTGCCTTCCCCGTTCCCCTCAGCTGTGGAATTGTTCGACGATGAGCTAACGCCAGATCCTCTCCTACGCCTTCTCTGGAGGCCAGCCTCGAGCTGGTGTTGACCAGGGTCCCGGAGCGCTGATCAAGGCGGGACTTCCGGCGCAGCTCGAAAAGCTGGGCTGGTATGTCGAGCACAACCCGACGCTTGAGGCTGAGATCGCCGAGCTCACGAACAAGACAGAGGAGGAAGACAAGGCGATTGGCAAGCTGCGCAAGCCTGTTTCGGTCTCTGCCGTCAATGAGCGACTCGCGGACGATGTTGCGCGAGTCGCGGGCGAGGGCAAGCTCCCTCTGACGCTGGGCGGTGACCATTCTCTTGTAAGCTGTCGTTGGCATCTTTGAAACTAACAGCCAGGCGATGGGAACAGTTGCGGGCACGAAAAGCGTCTACCCCGACGCAGCTGTTATCTGGGTGAGCTTCAAACCGTATCCTTAGCTGATCGCAGGTGGACGCGCATGCCGACATCAACACGCCGATCACGACTGACAGCGGCAACCTGCACGGCTGCCCTATCTCCTTCCTTCTCGGCCTCGAGGGCACCGACATCCCGCCCTTCAACATCTGGCTGCAGCCGTGTCTGCGTCCCGAGGACCTGTAAGCTTACCTGATCGATTGGTAGCTAATGCTAGTGTGTACATCGGCCTTCGCGACATTGACGCCGGAGAGAAGCACATTCTGAAGTCGCTCGGCATCAAGGTGTTCACGATGCACGACGTGGACCGTCATGGTATCGGCAAGGTCGTCGACATGGCTCTCGCCCACGTTGGCGCCGCGCGCCCGATCCACCTTTCGTTCGACGTCGACGCCCTCGACCCCACCGTCGCGCCGAGCACTGGCACGCCGGTCCGTGGTGGCCTCACATTCCGTGAAGGTGAGTACTGGTGGAGGTGGAGGTGCCTTTCGTGGAATCTGGCTAAGCGCCGCCCGGAGAAGACCGTTCGCCGCTTCTGCCGCGGATATCCGGCGCAGCGCGTGGCGTGGGTTGCACTGCATCCTGCGATCTAGTCTGACGGTCCTTGGCAACAGTGGGGGTAGTGGGGTAGGGCTGACGCGTAGGCCACTACATCTGCGAAGCGATCGCAGAGACTGGAAACCTGGTCGCGGTCGATGTGATGGTGAGTGATTTATCATTGGTCCCGTGCCTGTGCCGCGCCCCCAAGCACGAGATCTCGTCACTGAGAGCCGGTTGCACCGCTTTTTGGGTCTTCGTCCTTGGCTTCTCATTTAGCCCAATGAAGCGCATGGCCGTGGCGCAGTGCAACCGCAGCAAGGCTTCGAGTGGCAAACGAACTGCGAATGCACATGCTGACAGTGTGCAGGAGGTGAACCCGACGCTGGCGGACGAGGTGTCGGCGGAGCAGACGATCGCGGTTGGATGTTCGCTCGCGCGGGCGGCGCTGGGTGAGACGCTCTTGTAAACAGTCAGCAGACGAGTCATGCATGCAGTAACGAGCTACTGGGGGCTAGGCCCGATTCCAGCGCGTGCGCAAGTGCATCGCGCGTGCATCGGAAGAGCAGCTAAGTGAAGGCTGGGAGGGACCGCACGGTGGGACGGCGAGATTGGTTCCGCCATGTAGTCTTGGATGGTCGTCGGTCTCGGTCATTTGCGTCATGACCTCTTCTTTGTCCGCCCAGAGGCATTCTCTCGGCACCACGTCGTCGTACCCTCGCAACACCCCTTTTCCATCCTTGCACTGCAATCCCTCCGTCTCTCTTAACAATACCCCCTCAAGCCATCCGTGCTCCTCATCCTCTCTGTGGATAATAGGTGAGTTCCACACATGCCTGCGTATCGAGTTCGGGGGCGACTCCACAATTCATGATGGTTGTTTCATGCGCGCCATCCGCCGCCTGAGCGCGTGAGCTCCAGCGACATTTGTTTACATCGCACATCGGCGTTGCAGCGGGGTCGCATTGGGGTCGCATCGGCGTCGATTGTCGTCGCCGGCTACTGCACCGCCTCGCCTCGTGCATCGGACACTGGGATTCATCGATGAGCTCGCGTTAACGACCAGCTGCATCTTCTCTGCCGAAGGTTGTTACTGCCCCGAGTCACCTATATCACGAACGCCTAAGCCATGGGCAAGTCGCAATCCAAGCTGTCGGCGGACGAGCTCGCTGAGCTGCAGAAGAACACCTACTGTGAGTATACTCACGCGTGTGCCCGAAGCGCGAGCGTGATTCCAGCTATCTCGCGGACTGTGGAGCTAACAGCAGTCGACAAGAAGGTTAGTCTTCGCTCGATGCCTCCCCGACTCGGTGGATCCACGCTGAGTACCCATGACCACTAGCATTGAGCTTCAAGACGGACAGAGCTAAGCTGACATCCAGGAACTCCAGCAATGGGTATGCTTCCATCGATGCGCGACAGCTAACGTCTAGTACAAGGGTTTCCTCAAGGACTGCCCCTCGGGCCAGCTGAACAAGGACGAGTTTAAGAAGATCTACCGCCAGTTCTTCCCGTTCGGCGACCCGAGCCAGTTTGCGGACTACGTGTTCAACGTGAGTAGCAGCCGCCGACAGGCGCTTCTTTATTACGGCCATCGCAAGCTTCCTTGGTGGTCGCGGTGAAGGTAGCAGCGATACCGGGCTGTGCGGCCGCCGGCACCAGGACGTGACGCTAGTGACGTTCGGTGGGCGACTGGCGGACTGTCCGCTGAGGACCGACATCACCATTCCGCAGTTCAGGAGCGCCGAGGCCGAGAACGGGCTATGAGTGGTGTGGGGTCCCGCTGCTGCGGACGTACCCTCCTGCTCTAATGTCGCCGTCGGTCTCTGGTGTCGGCTCCGGGGCTTTCCAGCTCGGAGCCGGGATCTACGTTCCTCAGCGTCGTGACTGGAATGAACCGATGAGAGGACGGCTGCTGACATTACAGGTCTTCGACGAGGACAAGTCGGGCACGATCGAGTTCAAGGAGTTCATCTGTGCGCTGTCGGTTACGTCGCGAGGACGTCTGGACGAGAAGCTGAAGTGTGAGTGTGTGCGAGCGCCAGTGGCGTATTTGGCGCCTGTCGTGCGAGCCCAAGATTCTCCTTCCTCCCCTCACAAAGTGCACTGTGATCCGCGTGTGATCGATCCAATCTTCTCCCAGTCTGTCATTGCAATGCTAATAACACAGGGGCCTTCCAGCTCTACGACATCAACCAGGACGGCTTCATCACGTACGACGAGATGCTCCAGATTGTGCGCTCGATCTACAAGATGACGGGCCAGATGGTCTCCCTCCCCGAGGACGAGGACACGCCCGAGAAGCGTGTCGATAAGATCTTCCGCAACATGGACCTGAACAAGGACCACCGCCTCACGTTCGACGAGTTCAAGGAGGGATCCAAGCAGGACCCGACCATCGTGCAGGCGCTGAGCCTGTACGACGGACTGTTGTAAGCGCTTGCGGACGCTTGCGAGCGTAGCGAGCAAGTGCAGCGAGCAGGCGCGACGTGCAAGTGCGAGGCGGCGCCAGTACGAGTTCATGATCCCTCACGGGCGAGTGGGCGAGTATGAGGTGTCAACTGAGTTGCGCGTGGGCGGTGCCCATTGTGCTCTGCGCTTGCTGAATTGCGAAGAAGACAATGTCTGCGTCTTCGCGGGCAGACGACGCGCTCGCGGCCCGGGGCGAGCGCGGTTCCGGATGTGTCTGACCTAAATGGCCGTGTATGGTTTATGCATAGAGTGTTGGTTCCACTGACGCGGAGCCGGCTGACAGGCTGGAAGAGTCTGCCTTGAGTGGTCACTGACAGAGTGCACTTGCACTGATAGTTACACTGATGATACATTCGCGCCAGAACAATGGTTGGGACTCATGCGTTACAACTGCTACAGTATACTCGTGTTTCTGTAATACGGGAGGGAACTGGGACTAATCATCGTCGCTCCATTGGCTGATCTCGGGAGACTCTCTCCGCGGCACAGGTTGCGAGGGAACGACCCAAGTCGGCGTAAAGCCGGCGCTGGCGAACGAGAAGGGTTCCAAGGGGAACGTAGGGAAGGGCCTGGGGTCGGAGTTCGCATTCTGCGGAGGGTCATTCTGCGCCGCAGAGGTCTGCGAATACTGTGAATTCGCAGAGTGCCGACCATCGTGCGAGTGAGAGTCATTGGAGCGATGCTCTGCGGTGTGGGCCTGACTCCTGGTCGTGTGATAGGTCGCACCGCTGCTGGACGATCCAGACTTGCTCCACGGGAGAGGAGGGAGGGGTGGGAGAGGCGGGAACCCGCCTTCGGGCTTAGGCGGTGGAGGGGGGAACATGTACGCCCCCTCCCCCTCTCCCTCGGCGTCCTCGGCATCGGCATCCTCTCTCTGCTCGGGGATGGTGATGGGCCACTGGTCGCGGAAACGGAGGCCGGGGGGTCCCGGGTTGTTATGGCCGTGAGCCACGCGGCGCGGGGCAGTGAGCGAGACAGAGCGGCGGCGCGTGTACTGATCGGGAGGGTAGGAGAGGGAGTGCGAGTGGCTCGGATAGGGCGGGTAGGAGTGTGTCGAGACGTTCGACCTCGTTCTCAGCCTCACGCTGCCGAACTGTCCACTGGGCACCGCTGGAGCCAGGGGAGGACGAACACCGACGACGTGCCATCCCTCGGAGCCACTCGACCTTTCCCCATTGGCAGTGACAGAAACATTGGACAGCGTCCGCACCCTCTGTGCGCCCCATGGCGCATTCTCGCGCAGATTCGCATGCGGGGATGGGAGCATAACAGCCCCCGCGTTGGAGGGGAGGAGCGGCGTATTGGGGAACGAGTCGGGGTTGGAGAGATTCGCAAACGGGTCCCGCGTATGCGGTGAGTGGCGGGTACATCGCTCGCCGCACTCGGTGCACCAGCCCTCCTTCTCCCCACTGGAGCTTGAGTCGGAGGAGCTGCGTAGGTGCAGGAGGGAGCGGAGAGAGGCTTTGGAGCGGGATTTCTTCAGCCATCGTTCGGATTTAGAGGGGCTGGGCTTCTCCACAGCTTGGGAGGGGCGGCGGGGTGTCGAGGGCTGAGTGGGCTCAGGGGCCAATGGTTGTACCGGAGCCGTGGTCTTGGACCGGAGCGAGGAGAGGCGAAGCGTTTTGGCTTTGCTGAGCGAGGCTTTAAACTTGGACGGAGACTCAGGCTCGGGGCGCAGAGGGGAGGGAGGTGGGCGGGTAGGGGAGGAGAGCAGAGAAGTGATGCTCGGCGAACGAGGGCGTGGGGACGAAGGGCGCCGGAAGAGACGGGTAACCCAGGTCGGCTCATGGAGTTCGTTCACCTTGCTCTTGTCATCGCCCGTCTTGGCTTTCCCATTGGCCGTCTGCAGACTGTCAATTGTTCCGTTACCAGCGGTGTGGCCCACTGTGCTGTAAGCACTGCGGACGGTATCCTCGACACCGGCAGTGACGGTGCCGCGGGTAGCACCCGTGCCGCTGTCGATGGCTGAGGCAGATGCCGATGCAGAACGGGGAGAGCGGAACCACTCCTCGTCGAAGAGCGAGAACCGCTTCCTGGTCGGTGTGGCGCCTCGCCTCGATCCCTCTCCCTCGAAGTTAACCGGTCGGTATTCCTGCACCGTCACACTTGTGACCGTGATCCCCTCACCATGTGGCATTCCGGCAGCCACGCTCCCCACAGTTGGCGTTGGGCTCGGCGAGCGACCTAGTGGCGGGAACGGCGTCGTGCGTCCGGGAAGTGTAGAGCTGAAGTCGCGAGTGACGACCGGCGTCGGTGTTGGACTGCGCTCCACAGGGGCAACCGTCGGTGAGTCACGGAGGTGTTTCTTCGACCTCAGCCTTGTGACTTGCCCGGGCTTTCTCCGGAGCTTTGATGGTGTAACTGGCTTCTCGTGTGTGATGGGTGTCAAGGGTTTCAGCCTTGGACCCATGGCTTGCGAGCGGTAGTGTGCAGGCAAAGAGGTGGATCGAGGGGGTGTATGCACCAGTGGAGTCTTGGGGCGTGTTGGTGTTGGCGTCGTTGGCAGTGAAGGCGAAGGTGACTCGGTGTCGGGGACCTCAGTGTCGCCGTCGAGACGATTATTGCTGGTAAAGGGTGTGGTGGCAGGCGAGAGAGGCTGGAAGAGCATACTGAGTCGCTCGGCGCCCACTGAGGCCGAGAGAGGCACTGGCGCCGTGTTCGGCATTGCAGGCAGAGTCGGTATCTTACCCGTACTCTTCTTCTTCTTCCTGCGGGGAGGTCGAGCAGGCGTACTCCCTACTCTCTCCTTGCTCTCCGGTGAGCTCGAAGAGTGACTCTCAGAATTGTTGGACGTATCCGGTGACGAGGCAACTTCGAGCGACGTGTCTGGTGATGAGTTGTAAGGAGGGAAGCGCTGCAGACGTGGCCGCTCCGATACCTCTGCATTGGCGCCGTCAGACCTCTTGGCTGCGTCACGCTTGCCCTCATCTCGCCCCTCGCTGTCGAATGGATCGGCACGTTCCAAGACCAGAGGCGGCTCCCACCTCCAGCTCGACGGGGGCGAGGAGGCGAAAACATCCAGCTTCTTTGGCGGGCCGGTTGGAAAGTGCGAGGTCGAAGGGAACTGGAGAGTTTGGATTCTGCTCCGCGGGTAAGCTGTTGTCAGCGTCGCTTCAACTGCGTACTCACGACTACTCTTCAGCACGCCGCTCTTCTTCGGCCTCTCCTCTGACGACGGCGCAGGTTTAGCAACCTCCGGCATCCCTGGCCGTGGGATATCCTCGCCGCGCCTACTCCCCCACTTTGGAGTGGGAGCCTGTGGTCGAACGAATGCCGATTCCTCCTCTCCTCCAACCTCTCCTCCCTCCGATCCTATCGATTGCGCGACGCCTGGAGCCGGTGGCGACGCCATGATGGAAGTGTGTGCGAAAGCGAGAGGTTGATCGGTGAACGGACAGGAAACCGAGCTATATACAGCCTAGAGTACAGACAATGACGCAAAAGGCGATGAACAGTGATGAACAGAGTGAGCGGCAGTGATGTGCATTGTTGATCACGGATTTTTGGGGCTGTGTTTATGCTGCTGAGATGTCAGACAGAGGATCGACCCCCTGGCCTTAGTGCTTGCTCAATGTGCGATGCGCGGTGAGCACTTATGGACTGCCTTTCTCGACAGATATTTGCAGCCGCGAATCCCGGTCGATGACCTTGGCGACAATTATGGTGAGATGAGAGATGCCCAGGAAATGATGAGTGTCAGGGGTGAAGCCAATTTCGAGCATTTTCAGATAGAGGTGCCACTTTCGCGATCTGTAGTCCACGCGCACGCCTGTGGTGTTACAATGTCGATGCATGGTCTAGACGAAACAGACACTATGGTATAGCGAGTATGGATACGTGGTTATTCTCTCCGGGTATGGCGACGGAAGCATGCTGTGTGTGATGTGATACGGACTGTGGATAATCGCGGATTGTGGAACGAAGTGATGGGACGAGGGTGGTATGAGTGACTAGGTTCAGGTTCACGACCCCCCACCGCGGTCCATGTACCAGATCCCCTGCTCGTTCATGCGGAATAGGGCTCTGTCCTCCCTCCGCTCCTCTCTTTCCTCCTCGATGTGGTCAAACTCGTCCCTCACCAAGACCTCAGACATGCTCCGCTGCAGTCCGCGTTGTCCGCGGCCCCATCCACCCTGCACACCAAGGTACTCCCCTGTCCCTCCCCGGCTTCCATAGTCAGCGCCCCCACTGCTTCCTGTACCACCGTAGTCATAGTCGCCATTGGTAACGGGATATGTGACCGCCTGCCTCGAGCTTCCACTACCCCTGGTCCACCCCGATTCCAACTCTGCGAGAGAATGCGAGCGCTGAATGTCCCTCCTTCCCTCATGGTATCCTTCCACCCAGTCCACGGGCTGCTGAAGGGGAGCAGTCTGAGGTGCCGTAAGCTGAACCGTTGGCACAGTGACAGCCCTAGTCATAGGTGGCCGCCTCGGCACCAGTTGTTCCTCCTCGGTCGGCTCGACTGGTCGATCAGGATATCTGTAGTCCACGCATCGGGGGACCAGAACTGGAATCGGCACATCGAGCGGCAGAGGGTCGCGCGGGGTGAGGATGTGCACTCCTCCTCCCGACGAGGTAGGCACAGAGGCACGTCTCTGGGCCATGGCAGCCAGTGGCGCAAGTGTCGTCATTGCACTCGGGACTGTGGGTCAGCTCTCGGTCTCGGTCGAGCTGATGAAGAAATGGGCACTTACGACCACGACGTTGGCCGAACTCGGGCGCTGAACCACGCCGGTCCCCTATGACGCCGATACTGGGTGCGGTGGAAGTCGAGGGCACGGCGTCGTCCAAAGTCGGGTCGAGACGCTGGACAGAAGGGAGAAGGTGGCTCCATTCCAGTCCGTCTTGCTCTCCTCTGGCGCTGCTGCTGTTCGAATGATGGGTGGAGAGGGGAACGGTGAGGGTTTGCGAGCGGCGAACGGGACGGTCCTCAAGACCGGGCGGCGGGCGGACGGGGGCGCCGCCGGTGGCAAGGGCGATGTTGCGAGGGATGGGACGAGCTGGTCCCGCAGAAACACGCGGAAGCCTGGTGTCATGTACTCGTGACGAACTGCCCGCCGCATTCTGGGGGAATGTCGAGCTGGTGGCCGAAGGAGGGCTGCTTGCAGTCGAGTTCGATCCAGAGTTGGGCGCGGTCGATGCAGGCCCGGCTCTTGCTCTGGAGTTGGGGCGTCGGCGCCTCGGCATTGTGTCACGGGTGTCGATGCGGCTCTTGATGAGTTGAGATCGCTTGTAAGACTGGGGTGGTGGGGATCGCAACTGGGGCTGAGCCTGGACTGAGGGATGAATCGATGGCGGAGGCTGGACTTGGCTGGCCTTAGTGAACAATGAGTCAGTGGGCAGATGGGAGATGAGGCATTGATGAAGTGCAACTAAGTGCTGCGTCACGGTCGTCAGTGTATGCTTGGTGCGAGGGTGCGGGGGATACGGGGTTGCGGTGATGCACACGGCAGCGGGGGGACCCGCGCACGCTGTCTGGATGTGGAATGGCTGGGCAGAACGGTATGGGGCCGGAGACGGTGTGCAGCAGCTGCATTGCAGGCCGCCTTACCACTCTTTTCCTGCCACACAGGGGTTCACATCGCCATGGCGTCCAGCGTCCGTGCACCACTCAACCCCTCCATTTCTCTCGTACGCATTCTCTCGTACCCGTCCCTCTCTCCCACCGCGGACGTGGGGCAATGGGATGCTTACTTTTATACATATGTTGTCTATGAACAAACTCGCTCACGGCGGGTTGATCGTCATAAGGTTACGGACGTTGGCGGGAAGCAGGCGCGCCGCGTCCTCCTTGCTCATCTTGCGGAGGCACGCGAGCGGGTAGAACTTGGTAAGAGCGACCAGCTCGAGGCGCAGCTTGCGGAGACCGTCTTCGTCGTCGACTGGGGCCGCGGCCGGCGCGGAAGCACCGGGGGCAGTCTGGGTCGGCGTTGCCTGGGCAGCAGGCGCAGGCGCAGGTGTCGACGTGGCTGGGACAGCGGCAGGAGGCACATGTGTCGGAGCAGCAGCAGGGCCAGAAGCGGCCGCGGGGCCTGGAACAGCAGAAGGTGGGTTGGCAGCTGGCGGCGTTGGAGCTGGTGCAGCAGCTGCTGGAGCGGGGCCAGGGGCAGGCACTCCGTTCGGCACACCCTCCACCTTGACACGCTTGACATCGCCTCCTTCCTCGTCCTCGGCAGGACGTTTGTTGAAGGTCGGCTCGGCCATGATGACGTCGCCGTTGGGCTCGGTCTTCGGCTCGGCCTTGACCACCTTCGGCTTGCGCTCCTCGATAACCCGTGCAATCTCATTACCAACCCACTCGAGTGACTCCTTGACGCCGCTCTTACCGCCGACGCCGACGTACATAAAGTCGGCGGGTTCGCGGAGCAGGGGCTGGATGTTGAGCGGGTTCATGGGCGACGTAAGCTTGCTGAGCGCGATGCGGGCGTAGGCGTTCTGCGCCTTCTCGACCGCCTCGGGCGTTTGCTCGCTGAGTGCCTTCATTGTCCGCTGCGCCGTACGGCTCACGTCCGAGTGCAGCACGCCGTTGTGCCACTCGTTGGACGCATAGTCCCACAGCGCAGCCTCCGGGTCCACGCCGGTCGCCTCGCCCTCCTCAGCCCTTACGTCGCATGCAGCAGAGCGCTCCTCGGCGCCCTTCAGCGCACCATCGATGAATCGCTGCACGCTCTTCACGTACGCCTCGCCGCGCACATTGCCGAGCGCCAAGTTCTCGAGATACTCAACGGCAGGCGGACCGTTGTCGTGAACATTGACAAACGTCTGGATCGGCCAGCCGGGCTTCACAAGCTGCGGCCGGGGGAGGTCGGGTCGGAGTTGCTGTTCCAGAGGCATAAGGTCGCCAGTTGGCGCACGCCGCAACCATGCGACCTCATCCTCGATCACGGGGTAGTCACCAAAATCGAGCGTGCCGATCTCCTTCGTCGGCAGCGGGTCGCGCTGCAGGCGTGGTGCACCGGGTAGTGGAGGCTGGCCAGTAGGTCCGCCAGGGCCGTCCCACTCCCACCACCTCGTCTCGCTCTCGCACAGGGACCGCCAATCGGGCACAGTCTTCCACTCCTCGCCGCGCTTCTCCCGCCAGATGTCGAGGATCTCTTGCGGATCGTCCATCTCGGCCACGTCACGGCTCCCGTCCGAGCAATAGCCTCGCCACCGGCCGTTGAACTTTTCGCGGCCGCGGACGAAGCGCTTTGCACGCACTCGCCTGCCTCCGGTCAGGTTCCAGCCGACCGCGGCTGCTTGCAACGTGTTTGGCGGGAAGGGCAGCATTTCCGTGGGGATGTAGTGCTGCACTTGCAGCTTCTTCGTCCGTCCGGGGTGAGGCGTGCTTCGCTGTGATTCTGGCAGCTCCGACGTTTGCCGCTCTGGCGATGGTGATGGAGATAGCACGAGCGGCCGAGCTCGGTCGATGTGCTTCATGCCGTGCTTGAACACCTTGTTCGCTTCTCGATACGGGGCGGTCCCGGGCAGGTTGAACGTAACAGCGGCGTCGTACATCTTCTTGAGATCGGCCTGAGGGTTAGCATTATGAGAGTCCTCAAACCCACCTCCAGCTCGTCCATGCCGTTGTACTCCCCGTCGTCGACCTTTTGCTGCATCGTGCCGAGGTCCATCATCTTGTCTTCTCCGCCGATGATATCCAGATAGTCTGGGTAGTGCTCGGTCTCGACAGGCTCAAGGAAGAAGCCATACTGATTGTCAGCTCGGGAACAAACGCCGCAGCTTACCTCGTCTTTCCTCCTCATCTCCTGCAACACCTTGTCGGCGAGCTCCTTGAACGGGCGACGCACGCGCTTCCACTTGCCACGGGTAGTTGGCGTCTCTGCACTGCCTTCGCGTGTCAGCGAACCGTAGTTGTCATAGTACGGCGTGGAGGCCGACGGAGACAAGGGCAGCGAAAGAGGGTCGACATCGTCATCGAAGTGCTCCAACTTGACGTCAAAGTCAGAGCCTGGTGTCGAGGCAGCCGATGGGGACAGCGCTAGCGCAGGCGTCTTCGGAGTTGTGGAGAGGTGAGGCGGGATAGCGCTTGGGCGACTCTTTGTGGGGCGTCGCTTTCGCGGCTGGCCAGAGCCGGGAGTTGAGACAGGCGTAGCGGCTGCGGAGCCTGGGGCGGACTGTGTCGTAGAGCCCGGCACCGACAGCGTGAGCTTGAGCGATGACGGACCCGGGCCACCGTTCTCCTCATTCGAGTAGCTGTTCGTCCGTGACGGAGCCGGCGACTCGATAGCCTCGACCTTGGGAGTTGCGCCTCCTAACGACAGCTTGAGCTTGATAGGCGGCATGGCTGGCTGGCGGGGTGGGTAGGTGTAGTGGTGGGTGCGCCTGTGGGCGGCCCCAGCCACGTTGGGTGGCGAGGGCTCCTAATGAGAGGAGTAGGGTAGCTCTGGAGAGAGATAGGAGAGGGTAGTGATGAGACCACTCTCTTGCGTTTGGGCTTGACGTCGAGGGCGACCAGGTGGACTCGCCGAGTGGAGGCAGCTGGCCAGCGGTTGCGGATTGCGGAGATGAAGACGAACAAACCTTTCACTCCACGAGATCGCGGAGCCAAAATCACCTCCAAAATCGCTGCCTCTGTTTCTGTAAATGTCACGTGGCGTTCAATAGGAAATGGTTGTAATCACGTTTGCTTCCGCTTCTAATTGGTTCTTCGCATTGGTTCGGAGTGTGGGGGAAAGCACCTTCCACTGATGTTCTTTGAGGAGGTCTTTGTTCAGTGCACTACTTACATGCATGCGTGCATGCAGGGGAAGAACAATCTTTGAGGTCGAACTCCAAATAGCGAAGCAGGGGGGGCGACACCCCGTCTGGAGGAGAAGTACAAAAGTGTTACTATTATTGGTTGAAGATCGGCCCGTGGGGCTCAATGCGGTAACCGCACATTTTTGTTTTGACGGCGCGGCATGAGGCTGCGGCGTTCATGTTCTGTCACTTCGGTCGCTCCTCTACGCTCTTTGCCTATGCATGCCTCTTCCCTAGAGCTTTGAGTACCCCAGATTTGGACAGAATCGCACGATGAATTCACATCGAGTCGATGTGCCTAGAGCGGAGAGCGGAGTGACTACCGACCTCGGAGCCAGAGCCTGGCAACGGATCGGGTGACGCCGATCGTCGAGACGAGCGAGACGAGACGCCGATCAGGAGAACAGTCCAGTGCGCCGCACTCTTTCCATTGCTCACTACACCACCGTCGTCCACCATGCAGCGGCGGTCGTCCTCAGTCTCACCGACGCGCAGCATGGGCCGGCGACTATCGTCGTCGTCCTCGCGCCTGAAGCGTGTCGAATCTCCCGCCGACGCCTACTCCCCGCCGATACGTGCCGAGCGGCCGTCCAACCCACCCGAACCGCCATTGACGCTCCTGCACACCACGGTCTCCCGCGCCTCCCGCAGAGCCGAAGCCGCCGAGGAGGCCCCCGAGATCACGCGAGAGAAGAGCCGCACGTCCGTCCATGCGCCGAAGACGTACAATGTCTGGATCCCATTCTCGGGTATCATGCACGATATCCGCGCCAGGTTGCCGTGGTACTGGTCAGATTGGAAGGATGCCTGGAACTACCGTGTCATTCCGGCCACATGGGTAAGCTGAGGTCTTTAAAGCGCAGCTGACAGCAGTTCATCTTTTTCGCAAACGTGGGTACATCTGATCAGAACGAACACAGTTCGGCGGCATCGTGGTGCTCTGCATTTGCCCTCGGTCACTCTCCGAGCCCGGGAACCCGGGCAGAAGGGTCTCTCGGCTAGTCGCCAGTGACAGCCGCTGTACTTCCTTCTTGCGCCCGTCGCTGTTGCCTCAGAGGGGATCGCGGCGTCATCCTCAACACGGTGCATGCTAACGTCAGGTGCTGCCAGGCTTGGCGTTCTCGCTCGACCTTATCGTGAGCAACTGCTCTGGATACTGATAGCTAACAATCAGGAAGCGACTGGCCAGTATGGAGTCCAGGAAGTCCTACTTGCGTCTTTCATGGCTGCGTTCGTCGCCTCCGTTTTCGGCGGCCAGCCCCTTCTCATCTCGGGCGTGACTGGTAAGCTGGTGTTCTTCATCATAGCTTACACCCAGGCCCGATCACCGTTTTCAACAAGACGATCTTTGACATCTTCCGGGGCCGCGACAACTTCAACTACCTGCACTTCATGGGCTGGGTGTATCTGTGGGGAGCGATCTTGCACTGGATTGCAGCTGGCTTGAACATGGTCAAGCTGATCAAGTATTTCACGCGCATGTTCTGTGACACGCTCGGCTTCTGTGAGCTCTTCTGTCGAATGTCTAAGCTGACCGCAGACGTCGGCGCCGTTTACGTCCAGTACGGCATTCAGGTTGTCTCGAGACAGTTCCACCAGTCCTCCCCTGGCTCCGCGATCCTGGGCATTCTGTAAGCTGGTAGGATGGGAGCCGTTAGCTAACGACAGCCTAGCGATCATCACGCTTGTCCTGCCGCACTACTTTAATGCGCTTGCCAAGTCGGGCTACGTGAACAAGCACTTCCGCCGTTTCTGCGCCGACTACGGCATGCCGATCACCATTGTGGCCATCTCTGGTCTGGCATACTGGGGACGCTTTGATCCGTAGGTCACCGAAACTTGCCAACCTAACCACAGATTTGTCCTCGAGAAGAACATGACGCTGCCCACGACGGCACACTCCTTCCAGCCTGCCGGGGACCGCTCCTGGCTGGTGCGCTTCTGGCAGCTGCCGGGCAAGTACGTCGGCATCGCCTTCCCGTTCGGCATCGTGCTCTTCATCTTGTTCTACTTTGACGCCAATGTCTCCTCCCTCATCGCCCAGGACTCGGAGTATCCCCTCCGCAAGCCCGCCGCTTTCCACTGGGACACCTTCCTCCTCGGCATTACGACCTTTATCGCTGGTCTGCTTGGCGTGCCCGCGCCCAACGGCCTGATCCCTCAGGCGCCGCTGCACACCGCCTCACTCGTCGTTATGGGCTACGAGGATGGGGAGCACGCACCTTTGCAGCGCAGAGATTCGGGCGAGGACGTCGCCGCGCGAGACTTCTCGGACGCCGAGGAGGGGCGGGCTGCGCCGCTGAAGACAGTCAAGAGCCGCGCATCCAGTGTTGGCCTCACGAGGCGCGTTACGCAACTCAGCGACCGCGCGCAGGAAGCGCGCCGTCGCCGCGCCGCCGAAGCCGAGCGTCGGAAAGAGGAGCGCGAGATTCCCGTCGCCGTTGTCGAGCAGCGAGTCTCGAACCTAGCCCAGGGCTGTCTTTGTGAGTCTCACCCAGCTCCGTGAGCGGCACAGAAGCTGACAACAGGCCTCGTCCTTATGACGAAACCGTTCGAGCACGTCCTCGGCCTGATCCCGAAGGGCGTCATGGCCGGCCTGTTCTGGTACATGGGCACTGACGCTTTGCTGAATTCAGGCGTGACGGCCAAGATGCTCTACCTCGTGCGGGATCCTAGGGCGATCTCGCCGAGCGACCCGCTCAACCATGTCCGGAAGAGCCGCATCATTCTCTTCACGCTCATCCAGCTCATCGGCTTCGGAGCCACGTTCGCCATCACGCAGACTATCGCCGCGATCGGATTCCCAGTCGTCATCATCCTCATGGTTCCTGTGCGGTTCTTTATCGTACCCCATCTCGGGTTCACGAAGGAGGAACTTGAGATTCTGGACGGGCCAGTCGCGAGTCCCTTTGTGAGTTGTCGAGCTACGGGATGGTGATAGAAAGCTGACGCACAGACCATGGAGTCCGTGGGCAAGTAAGCAAAACCCTGGCTCCACTCTTAGAGGAGCCTGGTATCTGCAGCTTCTGACAAGCTGCATAATGTGTATCCTGTACGAATGGAAAAGTAATGCGATTGATAGATGGCTTGGACCAGGCAACACTGGGAATAGGTACAGCGGTATGTGGTTCCTGGCAGACGCCAGTCGTGCGTTGGCAGATCAAGGGTCGGCGCGGTATGACGAGCGCGGTCTGGTCCCCGTCGAGCTCTGTGCGGTGCGAAGCAGATCGCTCTCGGCTCTCCCTGAGGTGCGAAGCATGTCGCTATGGGTATTCCGAGCTCCGTAGCATACGCTCGACCAAAGAGCAGCAGCAGCATGCGCCTCGTCGGATCACGGCGGTGCGAGGCTGATGTGCGGTGGAGGTGCCACTTTACGTCATGGGCTATATGTCCGGCGCTGGGTGGTGGGCCAGGCAATAGGCGATGACGGAAGAATTCGGTGCCGTCCAGCCAGAGCCAGCCAGCGTACCAGCGTACAGCGGGTGGTCTCTGGTAGCTTGCCGGGCCAGTCACGAGTTAGACAGAGCGGCCAGTTCTCTCACCTTCTTCCTTCTCCCCAACTACCATCTCATCAATCACAATGTTCCGCCTCGCTGCCCGTGCCGCTAACGCTAACCGCGTCGCTGTAAGTTGGACCCGATGGGTGTGCCGTTGCTTTGGTCGACTTTGGAAGACTGCGCTGCATCGACTCTGGAAGCGGACGGGATGTCTGAAGGAAGGATCACGGATGGAGGTCCATGGCTGTCGCAATGCTGGGAGCGCAAGTGACAGCAAAACAGTAGCTGTAGCCGGCCGTCTCTGGCCGATCTTGGCGATTCCCGAGTGACGCTCGTGACACTCATGACGCTTGCGCAGCGCCGGCATCCGGCACGATCTTGGCTCGGCACGGCATCCACCCACCCACTCTCTTTGGTTTATTTGTGCTGACGCCATTCCCCTCTTTCTACGGTTGACATCTCGGTCATCATAATGGAAACCAACTACCAGTTCACCCGCGCCTACTCTGACGGCGTTGTCGGCGGCTCTGCCGGTGCCACTGCCCGCTCGAAGGGTTTCTCGTGAGTATCGACGAGGACAGAGGAGGCGGTGGGAGGTGACGTAGTGTGCCTTGCGTTCTGCAGTCGACACTCGCCATATTGTCTCGGTCGCCGCCAGATCGATCTGGGAGGGCGTCCGTCATGTTCTCTGGGCGTCCGTGGACGCCCCGTGACCGAGGAAGACGCCGAGAGAACATCTTGGGGCGTCTCAGCGGGCGTCTCCAGGCGCTTTGGACACTCCCTCCGCCGCCTCTCCCTACTCATCCGCTACAGCAGCTCAAACGAGATCCCGCTAACCCATCAGTGAGCGCGAGCAGGCCCAGGAGGGTCAGTACATCCGCGACCTCGAGAAGGAGAAGCTCCGCAAGCTCAAGGAGAAGGCCGACGCCGCCAACAAGGAGGTCGAGGCCCAGAAGCAGCGCATGGCTGACAACGGCGACAAGGACCACTAAATGCGTCGGCTCGATCTGAAGGTCTCATGAAGAGTGGATCTCGGAAGTGAATCAAAAATCGTGATGCATAGGTGTCAACAAAGTCTTTTTACGGAGCCACGGAGCGGAGAGCAGCGCGATGAGGGGAGGAGGGCGAAGAGGAGCAGGAGAGACAGAGACTGAGCGGGCAATTGCGCAGAATGCTGCGTGGTCTTACGGAGCGGAGCGTTTGGAGCACTAAGCAGAGTGCGGCAGGCTGAAGTACATGCATCAGTCAGGTGCAGAACGTGTCTGAATTAGAGTCAGCCAGTTGCAACCGTCGGAGCTCCGGCGGTGTAGAGCCAGGGGTGTGGGTCAGTGATCGGGCTCCAGGGCCCAGTGATGACGCGTGACGTCCAGACCTCCACCAGGTATCTCCATCACCCGACCAGCAATCACTGATCACCCTTCCTCATCTCCTCACTCATCCTCTCATCACATTACCCCTCCATCTCTCTTCCGATACACTGAGAGAACACATACGACATGGCCGGCCTGCCCCCAGGCCTCAGCGCGCAGTACTGGTCGCGCCTGTCCGTGTCTGGCCCGGGCGTTGAGGGGCTCGGCCTAAACGGCAGCGAGGCGTGGATCGGCGGCTGGGAGGGTGTGGGGTTATACGAGGGGTGAGTTTACGATTGAAAGAGCAACTGCAGCGGAAGCGATGGATATGCCTCCCCGGCTGCAGCTCTCGCTCCTTCTGTGAGCGCCCACAACGCTCTTGTCGCCCGCTACAGTGCTCCAAGCAGAGCCGGACGAGTCTCAGCGAAGAACGACCTTCCGGCGTCCTCCAGCTGTTACGACGATGAAAGCTGACAACAGCAACTCGAAAGTCGGCACCTATCAATCCCTCACCTTCCATCTGACGACGCACCGGCTACTCCTCGTGCCGTCCGCCGATTCGCCCAATGCCTCGCCGCTTCAAGCGCCGCTATCCTCTGTCCGACAGACCGAGTTCTACACCGGATTCATGCGCTCCTCGCCCAAGATCACACTGTACCTTGGCCGAGGACCAGTTGCGAAGTCGGCATCTGCGATTCCAGAGCTGGAGCCGGAGACAGGGAGGGAATCGCCAGCAGAAGTGGGTAGCTGGACGTGCGGCGTGTGCGGATTCGCAAACCCGCTACCTGCTGGCGTAACCCTCGGGCTGGAGAGCAAATGTGCTCTGTGCGGAGTAGGCTGGAGTGTGGGGCGAACTCTCACGCCATCGGGCTCGAAGGCTGGTAGTGAAGCTGCGAGTCGGACCGGGACGCCGGCTCCGAGCTCCATCGCGCCCACACCTGCGAGGGCAGGAACACCAGCGTCATCAGCGGGAACAGGGACACCAGCAGCAGCACCGAAAGAGGAGAAGGGGAAGCAAGTCGCCTGTCCGGCGTGTACATTCCTGAACCACCCGAGTATGTCGCAATGCGAGATCTGCGGGACGCCGCTTCGAAAACGGACAACGTCAACGACCAACGGGGCAGCCGAAGGAGGAGACTCGATGGAGAAGCACGATGTCGTCCGGTTGTCGTTCCGGAAAGGCGGCGCTGCGGACGCGTACAAGCGCCTCAAGGGTGTTCTGGGGGATAAAGCGTGGGAACGCGCCCCGCTGTCAACAGTGACGAAAGACGGCGACAAGTCCGGCGCTGGAATTGGTACGTCGCCGCGCAGCTGGGAGACACGCCGAGCAAAAGCTGATATTCAGACGCGATCATGCGCAACATCACACTCTCAGCGCGACAGGCTGACGGGCATGTTCAGTCTGCCTTCCGCGACCTCGAGGTCATGATGGTGCGCGCAGGCGAGATGGTCCAACTTGCGCAATCCCTCGAAGCGAAGCTCGCCGCGGCAGGGCACGGAACAGAAGAAGAGGAGACGCTCGTCCGCTCCTCGCTCGTCAAGATGGGACTGCCCGCGCCGGCACTCACGAGCGACATGGTCAAGGACGAGCGGGCGTACCTCGATGGTCTGGCCAAGGAGCTCGGCGCGCTGCTGACCGGAGGCGGAGCGAAGGGCAAGGCTGGCCTGATGCTTGAGCCAGGGCACGGTGTGCTCGCGCTTGACACGGTGTGGGGAGTCTGGATGCGTGTCCGTGGCCTGGCCCTCCTACCTCCCTCAACTCTGACGCTGCTATTGGATCTGCTGCCGCACCACACCCGCCCGACGATACGCAAGATGCAGCTCCCCTCCGGGCTGCTGGTGCTGTATGCGCCAAATTACGATCCGGAGGCGTGGCGACGGCGCCTCATCCATCGACTGCGTGAGGAGCCCCCATCTCCATCTCCCGAAGAAATAGAGGCCGTGGAGGAAGTAGAGATGATCAAGGGCCTGAGTCCGCTCGAGATCTGCGCGGTGGAAGGAGTTCCCTTGGGCTTGGGCGAGGAGTTGACAGAACTCGCGGCAAGAAAGGGGGGCATCGTGAGGGACGATCAGGCGAGGGGCGGACGGTGGTATGCCGATCTCATATCCGAGTGGCCACTGGGCCAGATAACGTGAGCCATGGTTGTACGAGTACATATTAGATGTCACTTTTTTGCATTGATTCTCATGCTGATGCGTTCTATTACGTACAAGGTTGCACTTCTGCTCTATAACTACTCCTCTTCTGTCCTTCATGCGCCCCGTGATTCCTCCGCGCAGAGAGAGCCAAGAGTGATTCACGCCCTTCGGGCTCGGAAAGCTCGCTCGACTCACGCCCAGGTCTCCTTAACCTCGACGCCGATGTTGGCCAGCTCGTCCAGCACGCCACTCCACACGTCCTTGGAGTACGGCCCCTGCACGCCGCGCGCGTCGACCTTGCCGTCTGCAACCCGGAGGGCGGCAAACGCGAGTGTGCACCCGACTGTCGTCGCCATCGAGCTCGCCTTCTCATTACCCGTGCAGAGCAAGCTCGCGCTCACGGTCTGCTCGGGGGTGCCCTCCGGCGCGCCCTCAGGCACGACGCGGAAGCCATGGTACAGGAGACACGTGTCGTGCTCGCCTGGCTTGTAGGCCAGCTTGTTCGAGAGCAAGGAGGCGAAGTAGTCGATAGGCGCCTGGGCGCGGGGGAGGGCGGGCGCATTCGAGGTGGCTTCGGGGAGGAGGGAGAAGTACTTGAGCGCATCCAGCGCCGAGTCCGCGTCCTTGCCCAGCAGGGAGCGGATGGCGGGCACCAGGTCTTTCTCGGCGACCTTCTCGCCTGTCGCCTTGCTCATGGACGCGGCGAGGAGGGCAGGCCAGCTCTCGACAGGCGCGCTGAGGGCGTCCTGCGAAATCAGCCCCAGGCGGCGGAACGCGTCCATGAGCTTCGAGAAGCCCTGGTACCTCAGCGTTCCGCGGTACAGGTCCTTCAGGCCGTCGACGGGTCCGAGGCCGTACTTGGCCGCATATGGCATTGAGTCGCGGTTCGCGAGACCCTCGAGCTTGAGGCCCTTCCAGAGATCCACGTTCGGGAAGTGTTTCGCCAGCAGCTGGTCGCCCGGGACCGTGTGCTCGATGCCGTCCAGCTTGTAGTGGGCGTCGTTCTGGGAGGCGGTCAGGACCGCGCGGGGCGACCAGGAGAACTTGTACGCCAGCGGGACGTTGGAGGCTGATGGCTCGGGGAGTCCGCCACACCACGAGATGAAGGAGGTGACGCGCTTGCCCTCGCGCTGGACACGCTCCATGATTCGCATCGCCGCCCTGCACGTTAACTCAGAACTGGGTGAGTAGCTTACATGGAGTCGATTCCCGGGTCGAGACCACACTCGCCGAGAAGGAGGACGTCGCGCGCCTCAGCACTGGGGGTTAGCTTGCGTCTCCGACAGGTAGCTTACTCTTTAGCGAGTGCCTTCATCTCGGGCGAGACGTAGGAGGCAGTGACGAGGTGCTTGCCGTGCGCAATGCAGTGCTTCGCGACCTGCGGGTGCATCGGCGCCGGGAGGAGCGAGACGACGACATCAGCAGCGGAGACGGCCTCGCTGAGTGCCCGCTCGTCGCTGACGTCGAGCATAGCCGTCGTCACATTCTCCCTGTCGCGCGCGAGCGCCTTGGCCTCGGCCACGTTGTTGCTCGCTGCATGTCAGCTCAGAACAACTGTGACCAGCTTACCAATGACGAGGCTGACGTCAGGGCGGGCGAGGAAGACATCGACCGCCGGACCCGCCACAAGGCCAGACCCAAGGAGGAGCACGCGCTTTTTCTGGCATCCACCGCCGGGGGCCGCTTTCTTCCAGCTGCGTACGTTCTTCTCGAGCCAGTCATGGGGTTTCTGAAGCTCGCCGTCTTCGACAATCATGGCGCGCGCGAGCGTCTTGTCGATCTCGTCGCCCATGCGCCCCTTGCCGTCGTAGTGCTGCAGCGAGCGCTCGACGTAGGGGTACAGGTGCTTGGAGAAGTGGGCAGAGGCGTCGGCCGCTGTTAGGTCAGCTGACGAACGCAGTAGTCCCAGCTGGAGCTAAGACGAAGACTTACGCAGCTCAGTGGGCAGAATGTCGGTCGAACCGATCAGCATACCGCCTGGACCGTCGAAGTACGGCTCGTCGATGGTCGTCGACTTGTTCATGAACTCGAGCGCGCCCTGCTGTCAGCTTGGCTCCTAAACTTCCAGCTCACCTCAATGTCGCAGCTGACGTCCTGCAGTCCAATGAGCTTCTGGGCACCACCGTGAGACTTGATGAAGGCATCGGTCTGCGCGTTGGTCATGATACGGGGGTAGCCCGCGGACCAGCCCGCGCCGTGGATCAGAGTCGTTATGTAAGGAGCGATCTGGAGTTAGCTTAAGACGCCGTAGTAAAGCTAGCTGAGTACGACAAACCTTCTCGTCGAAAGTGCTCTTGTAAAGCTCCGGCTTGGCGTAGTACTCAGAACGGTCGTAGCCGCCACCTTCCTTGCGCTCGAAGTACGCAGACGGCGGGATCTGACACGCGTAGATCTGTTGTCAGCTGAAGTCATCCTCTGTTAGCTTACGGTGGATGTGTTAGGAAGATTGGGCAGGTCCTTTGCCTCGACCCACTCAACGCCGAGGGCGTCGAGCATGTCCTTCGCGCCCGTCGAGACGTTGCCGGCTCTGCCTGTTAGCTATCGAGTGCAGACGGGAAGCTTACCCAGTCAGGCCGATCACGACAGGTCCCTCCTTGTCGAGTGGCTTGCCAGCCTTGGCCGCCTCGCCGGTCGCCTTCAGCGCCGCCTTGTACTCCTTCATCGAGCCAAAGGTGTAAGGGCGGGGAAGGTGGAGGAGGGGGTGGGCGATACCGCGCTTCAGGAGTGCGAGACCAGTCAGGCTCAGTCCTTCACCGGCACCGACGGCTGCTTGTCAGCTGAAGGCTCTATGTGAAGCTTACCTCCGGCATACCATCCGAACGCGGCTACGCGCTTCAGCTTTCCATCCTTCGTTGGCGCGGTCAGAAGTTCGTGGTCGATGAGAGTCTGTCCCTTCGTGGGAGGGAGGAAGGTCGCAAGAAGACCAGTGTTGTACGGCTGGTTACACGTCAGTCATGATCGGAGGGCGCAAGGCGGAAGCTTACCTGCCCCTTGTGGGTGTGCGAAAACATCATCCAGGTGCGCTTCTTGTCATCGCGCGCAATCAGCTCCTCCACATCCTGCACCCGCGGCTCCTTGATGCCGAGCACAACGTCGACTGCGTTGCTCAGCTTCGGCACAATCTTAGCGCCGGCCTGTTGTCAGAAAAGTCTAGCGGTAAGGGACATACAGCCTCGTACTGCTCGTCGGTGAAACAGCGCCGCTCGCAGCTCTCCACCTCAACTGTGTTGTCCTTGTCCTTCACCAAGCTCTTAATCGCATCTGGCGTCAAGGGAGCACGGCGCTCCCAGACCCGGCGGGGGTCCTCGCGACGCATGCCCAAGGTTGCCAGCGCCGCTGCGCTGCTCGACAGTCCCCGGTAGCCGGAGTGGAGCTGGACTACTCGTGATGTTGGTCGTGACAGCGATTTGATCATTGTGTTCGTGGTCGTGGAGTGAGTGGAGAGAAAGAAACAGAAGGTTCATGACAACACCGATCTAAAGAACGCTCGGCACGCCGAGAGGGAGCGCGAGGGAGGCTGAGGCTGGCCCCAGCATCCCGCCCGGCATCACGGATACGCACCCAGTCTGCTGACAAGAATGTTGACTTTTGTGTTCCGTTCTTGCGCATTATGGACGCGTCCAGCACAGTCGCCACCTAGAGGGGACAGGATCCGACCGGATTTCTACCCCGGCCCTTATGATGTCATGTTTCCTAATGCTTCATTAGGACAGACTATAGTCGCCACTCCTACGGTATTAGGGATGCCACGTGCACGATTACAGGAGATGCCCGATACGAGGCAGGGCGAGATAGGTGGTGCGCCGGAATTGTTAACCCGGACTTGTGTACTGGAGGCTGTAACCCGTGGAGTTTGTGCCCCACTCAGCCTGATACATGAGGCGCTGTAAGCGCTGCAGACGCACAGCTGTGGAACAAGCTCAAACGTGTGCAGGTGACATACTGTGCCGAACGCTGTCGTTCGGACAGAGCGCCGATGACATGCCCGGGGCCCAATGGATGAAAGTGGGTCAATTCCGGAAGAGCATTACGATATATGATAGTCTGCATGGTGGCCTCCGATGAAGGAAGGCTAGTTGCCGAAACCAGAGATAAGAAGTCCAAGTGTTACGGTCAGATGTGTACTTGAGCTTCTTACATGGAACTCGGCCCGGAAGAGAGAGTGCAGAAGGTCGCTGTCGCAAGTTGGCCTTTGTCTGTTAGGCTGGTGGCGACAATCGGCTGACCACATCTGGTGGCTAGAAGCTGGCGCCTTTGCTACCGGAACTGCACCCATTGTGCTCTACATCCTGCTGCAGACCTGTCATCGTCGGGCGAGTTGTGCGGCAATCGTTCGAGGTGATTCGTCCCCGATTCAACACTGCTGTGAGTGGCAGACATGAGGGCCCGGAGGGCCAGGTAAATACGATTCGAGTCTCGCCAAGTCGTGTCACGCAACGTCAGGTTTCCAGTAAGTACGAGTGCTCAGTCAGCTGGAGAAACCGCCTTGCCAGTGCATCTCCCTCACCATCCCAGCGACAGTCGCTCATCGTCTCCGTTATCGTCCACGGTAGCCGGAGCAGTCCTTATACAATTGAGCGATGCATGCGTCTCGGTTCTCCATGGGATCTCCTATCGTCGTACAGCCCGACGTCTTTTTAGTGGGTGCGCGCCTTGGCGCCGTCGACGTACATGTTGCGCGTCGCGGCGGGGAGGCGGGCGGTGATGCCGTCGAGGTCCTTAGTCAGGAGGACCTGGCAGCCTAGCCGCGAGCTGGTGGTCAGCTATGTATCCCCAGAACCCTAACAGCTTCGTATCTAACTCTGTCCCAATGTCCGCCTAAAGCTCGAGTCGAGCTTGGAAGTGGGTAGGAGAAAGTAGATAGCCGTGTAGAGCGGGGCCAAGTAGAGAAGAGCAGGGAAGGCAGGAATGCCGAGCAGCGCTGCTTCCAGTTTCGCCGTCACCCATGAGTGTACTCACGTGTCCTCGAGACCGAAAGCCAGGTCGAGCATGTCGTTCTCCTCATCGTCGGCCTCAGGAAGCTTGTCGAAGCTCTCCGGGTCTAAGATGACATGGCATGTTGAGCACGCGCACGATCTCTCACAGGCGCCTGATGTCAGCTCATGCCCAGAACTCGCTTAGCAGTAAGATCCGAAACGTACCCTCCAGATCAACATCGTACTCGTGCGCAAGGGAAAGCAGGTCGTCGCCCTCGTTACCCTCGATCGTCTTGATCGGGTTACCCTTCGAGTCGACAAAGTGCACCTTGATTCTGCCCATTAGCTCGGAAATCGACAACGATCAGCTGAGGAACACCTACCCCGTTCCGGGCTCCGGGCGCTTAATCTCACCGTGTCGTGCCGCTGTTGTCAGTTAGGCCTTGCGCGAGAACAACTAACGAGAAGAGACGGAGAAGGGACGGAGGGGAAGAGCGGCGGGGCGCGCGACGGAGGGTCCAGCACGCGCGGCGGGGCGGATGAGCGAGCCAGTGCGCACGGCCTGGCGGAGAAGTGATGGTCGGAGCATGTTTGCAAGGTAAGAGCGGAAAGGAAGGAAGTGATGAGGAAAGGAGAGAGGCGGACCGAGATATTTTGCGATCGCCGAAGTCTGTACGGCGTGCGGCAAGCAAGCGTCAGGAATTGGAATTAGCGAGTCACCTCGTGCGGAGACCCGGCCCTCTCCGCCGCCGAACCCCTGGCTCGGGAAATGCGCCCTCTGACATTGCACGCTGTTTGATTGGTAGCATTCGGAGGACTGGCTGTGCACACCGGGACGTGCATGCATACTGCCATCGTTGAGACTTCGAGCAATGCATAGCGAATCTGCTATGGGAATTGCAGAAGAGATGGACTGGATGAGATGTAGTGAGGCTGACTCTGGAACTTGAGATCGCCGCGGTAGGTGCGACTCGCTTGACTCGGCAGCGATCCAAAAGCGATAATCGCGCACTTCGGCCATCACTCCCACGCCGAGCCAACTTGTTTGGTCCCCGAGGGTGCGTGTTTACACTCTCATTAACGCTGATTAAGTGGCTCTGCAGTACCTCGGACGTAATACATTCTATGCTGCTCTGCTCTTACCGCCTGAGGGGGCTCATGCCTGTGCCCGCCCATCCGGGGCCGCCGCCGCCGCCACCACCACCGCCTCCGTTCCACTGATCGTAGCCTCCTCCGTTCTGGTCGTAGCCGCCTCCGTACTCGCCTCCATTCATGCCCATACCAGGCTCAACGATGCCCTCTCCCTCTCCGATCTCGTCCTCGTCCACACCCGTCTCCTGCTGAACGGCGAGAATGACCTGCGCGAGGTTCTCGACCATAATGTCGCACGCTTGCTCGAACACGCTGCGGACGGGGACGGAGCCCACACTCTCAGCAGTCATGTAGTACGTGCTCGGGACGGCGTTGAAGTCGAACGGCTCGTTCGGGTTCGGAGGCGTCTCGAAATTGGCGTTCGCGGACAGGGGCCACTCGGCGGCGGCGTCAGTCTCAAACCAGTAGTCGGTGTGTCGCAGCTTGTTGTACGGGTCGTACTCGTACGCGACGGCTGAGAGGGGTGACCACTTGGCGTGGTGCTTCGCAATACCCTTGTACGCCTTGCAAATGACCTCGATCTCCTGTCCTCGCGAGATACGGGCTAACTGGATCGGAGACGCGGTTGGGTCGCCCTTGCCCACCGGTACACCGAGCTCGGGATCGTGGTGCGCAATCAGTTCACGCTCCTCCTCACCAATGTCGGGCGGAGGGCCATACGGGCTCTGTTGGGGCTATGATGTCAGCTAACGGCTCTGTTTGCGCTGCGGGGAAAACTCACAGTATTCGGGCTCGGGATAACCTCGAGCATGTCGCTCGTGACGGCCATTGGGCTGCCGTACTCGCGGTTCACAGCAGACACCTTCAGCCGCAGCGTGACCATGCAGTAATAGCACCCTTCGTCGCAGTCGCAGTCACGCGTGTACCTCAGTCCCTTACCAACATCCCGCGAGATCAGCGGCACCATACCGAGACGGTGGGCAAGCATCTCGTCGGGAATGGGCGACGTGTTCTGGTAGAAAGACACCTGGTCGATAGCTAGTCGTCAGCGGGCCATTCAGCACAACTCTTCCTCCAGGAACCGCTTGATGAATCTTGTCTTCCGCCAAGCACGACGACGTCCTTGCAGAAGCGAGCTGCTTCAAGCTTTAAAGCGCTCCCCTAAGCCAAAGAAGGTAGTGAACTCACCCAAGGTGGGAACATCCGCCATCATTGTTCTCCTGAGCGAGTTTGCATACGCCATGTCGACGCCGCTGAGATGGAACGTCGTCTCGTCTCGGTTCAGGTTGCGAACGAGGATGTTCGGCTGGTTGGTCGGTCCCTGCGGGATCTGAATCTGCTCCTGCGCAGCCTGTGGCTGCTCCTCCGCGTATCCGTTCATGATGTGCAGTTAATGCGTGTGATGAGAAATGTTATGCGGAGATGCGAGGTTGACGAAACGGATCGTTGCGCAACGCGTAATGTCGCGGTCGATCACCCGGCTGGCGCTTTTCACACTTCGAATCCTGAGCGTCGGAAGCTCTTCTTCCACGTTGCACTCGCGGGCCGGACTTGGAGTTTATGCGCGGGTTGAGAACGGGCGAGAAATGGACGATGAGGCTGGTGTTCTGATGACTGCTCAAAGAACGACGAGCGTGAGGTATTGTTCTGACGAAATCGAGATGATTGAGGTGAGCCAAGTTTGAGCCTGACATGCATCCACGTGGTATACCAGTGACAACTCGACAAGCGGAGATGGCCGCACTGCCCGCTACGGTTCCCAGTTGTTTGGTTCCTGGAGCTTCGATAAGAACTGCTCACCGGCACGGAGCGAGTGCCCGGTCTAATGCACATCGGAAAGCAAGAAGCAGTTCAGAGATGATTGCAAGCTATATGCTGATACATATCTACGATCCGTGACGAACGCCTGGCAGTATTTCATTCTCGATCGACCACTCAGCGGCTCCAAGTCGGGCTTTGTACTCGTCGTGCGTGAGGTACTCCAGGTCATCCATGTACTTCTTAAACTCCGCATCCCAGTTCTCTGAGGGGCCCTCCATCTCCCAATAGATCTGCCTGGTGAAGTTGTCGTCCGTCAGCAACCGCTTCGCCTCGTGCATCCTGTAGTCGAACCGCGCAATCTTCTCGGCGGGAGTAGCGTCCCTCTTGAGGGACAGGGCGCCAGGCGGCACGTCCTGAAGTCCGACAATTGTGAGCTTGTGGGTCGGTTTGGAGGCTTCGGTAAGCACAAACTCCTCAAACCAGCCCTTGCCGTCGTACGGTCGGGCGTCCCTGCGGTTGCCCTTCGCTGTCGGCTTCATGTCCCACGCCGTTTTGGTGAGGATCAAGACCACTTCCTCGACGGTGTCAGGGTAATCGTCGAAGCGAATGCGGCCGTTGCGCAAGCCTTTGCAGCCGACATCGTATGCAACGTTGAAAACCGCCTTCTTGCACCCGCGGCGCAATTTCGTGGAGTCGACGAATCTCGTCGAACGGCCGAGAGCTGAGCCGGGGTTTCCCTCGTCAAAGAGATCGTATTGCTTGATGGGAGCCAGCAGGCTGAACTGGACGACTCGAGGTGCATTGGACGCGTAAAAACATTTCACCATCGAGTGCGGCTGAGCATAGGGTAGATGGTACCGCACGCTGTGAACTTTGTTGGTCGCTCGCATCAGTCTAATGATGCCGCGGTAGGGTGGGCGTTGGAAAATGTCAACAACCTCGGCGTTCTTCATTGCGATGGCCGCCTGCTCAGGAAGCCTGTGGCTGAACTCCTCTATACCCATCTCCTCTTCAGAGCTGTACTCATCCCCGGTATCAGCGAACGCACCTCCGGGTCTGCCGAGGAAATCGTCCATGAGGTCGCTCTCTCCGTCGGATAGACCGTCATCTTCGTCTTCAGTATCACCATCGTCATCGTCCTCATCACTGAAGGTTTCCCATCCTCCTTCTCCTTCACTGCTGCCACTGCTGTCAGAGTCACCGGCGCCGCCGTTCCCGTTGGCTGCGGCGATAGCCGCGGCGATAGCCGCGGCGAGAAGCTCGCCAGCGTGGCCGATGGGACCTCCGTTGGCATTGGTCGGAGGCACAATGCTTTCGTTCCCAAGGATTTGGTTTTGTTGGACCAACATCTGCATGAGAGCCATAGCCTCCTCCTGCTCTCCTTCGGACGAGAACGACAGCTCAGAGTCGTCGTCGGACACCTCATTGCCGCCATTGCCGGGGGGATGGCCTTGAGGGAATAAGGCAGCTCCGAGGTCTGGCACGTTCTCCTCATCAATGTCGTATCCGTTAGGGTCGCCGTCATCCGAGTCGAAGTCGGGTTCATCAGGCTCCTGATCATCGTCTTCCTCGTCGTCATCATCATCGTCGTCGTCGCTTTCATCATCGTCGTCGAATTCGTCATCTTCGTCTTCGCCGAGTAGGAAGTTCTCACTGAAGTCCGGCATCGGTCGATAAGTGTCGATATAATCGTTGTACCACGCATTGAACGTCGGATTGGCCTGCACTCTGCCTCCTTCCTCGAGTGTTCCAACACCAACATTCACCATGGTACCGCGGCGAGTCGTCATGACAATGCCATAGTCGGGGTAGATGACCAGGTGGCGACACAGTTCAGCCTCGGCGAGCTTCTTGACGTGCTTCGACACGCGTCGCAGTTGGACCAGAGAGTCGCGGGGTGCGAAGCGGATGACAGACTCGAGGATGTGCGGGAACTCGTTGTACGCGAGCTTACCGTCGGAAGCTGTCGCCGGCGTCTCCGAGGTTGTGGAGACTTTGTCAGCGGAGCGTTTCTTACGACCATCCGATCGACGATCGGGATCCGATTTGCGTTTCGGTGCCATGTCGTCTTCTGGGTGAGCTGGACAATGAGATCAGTGAGAATCAGATAACGCCATTGTTAAGTGGGGAAGTGGATTCGGCACGACGGGACCATTGCCGGAACGCGTCGCGTTTGGTTCCGAGATGAGTAACGCCACCCAAAAACGAAGTGGAGGCCGGTGCGAGGAGGGCGTGTGCAGAGCCTTCCTAACCAGAGGGCGTGCCATACGCATTGCAGCACCAGGCTACAGCCTTATCAGTGCACAGATACAATGCAAGCCCGTATTTTCTTGAGAAGACGAGGTTGTTGAGTGTTTGATGCGTAAAGCAGTCGATGGATAGGTGCTGATGATGCGGGCTGACCACGTGCAAAAGTCCCCTCAAGCGCAAACAAAGCGTCAAGCTGGCACAGGCCGAGGCAGCATTGAGTTACGTCGAGGATCGTGAGATTTCATGTGCACGTAGAAACGTGCATGGAAAGCTCGAGCGAGGTTGTGGTTATTGGGTGTCGGAAGGGTGTTGTTATGACAAGCGCAGCACGCAGGTGGAGAAAATCACGGGGTGGCGAAAAGCAGGCGCGCTGTCGTTGTTTACATCCACCAGACGGAACCAAATACGAACGCACCAGCCGACAGGAGGTGATCGGACAGCACCAACAAACATGTCAACAACTGTTAACCCACCCTCATCAACGACCATGGTGCTCCCAACAGCAACGCCCCGGCCTTCGACAAGGTCGAGGGCCGGCGCGATTCCCCCACCAACCACTCGAATGACCCGACTTCGAACCAGAGAGGCTGCAGCCCCATCTCCTGCCTCATCAACCCGAACTGCCGGAATTCTCGCCAAGGGTAAGGAAGGCTTCAGGAAAGTCTCCGACAAAGTCAAGGAGAAGGAGAAAGAGATGGAGAAGCACATAGGCGTAAGTTTCTCGAGCGGTCGTAGCCTGACTGTGGAGCCTAAGAAAGCCGCCCCCGCGGGTCCGGCCTACTCCCAATCGCTTCAAGCCTATCTCCGTGTCAGACCTGTGGATGCCGTCAATGCCAACCCCTACATCGAGCTCAAAGGTGACAAAGACGTTCTGCTCCAACCGCCCCCCGACAACAGGGGTCTGCCCAAGCCTGCCCAAGTCTTCAGCTTCGACCAAGTCTTCTCCCCTGAATCGACGCAGGCGCAGTTCTTCAACCAGACGGCGCGCCCGTTGGTCGAGAAGCTCCTACACGGAGAGAACGGGCTTCTCTTCTCCTACGGAGTAACCAACAGTGGAAAGACGTAAGCCTCACTATCATGAATGAACTGACCCAAGTTACACCATCCAAGGCGGTCAGTCGAATACTATCGAGGAGCGCGGCGTGTTGCCCAGGGCCATCGATCTCGTGTTCAACTCGATCTCTGGCATGGAAAGCAGCGCGAACGTGAGTTAAAATGGTGGCGGAGCCAATCTGACTCGCAGCTCAAGACTCTCGGCCAAGCTGATGTCATTCTCACGAACGAGCGCGAACCGTATTCGCTCAAGTCTCTGCCACAAGTCCCCGAGCCCCAAGCCAATGACTCCGTTAAGGTGGATCGGAACTTCTCGTACGCCGTCTTCGTTTCCTACGCTGAAGTCTATAACGAGAAGGTATGTCTCTTCATGCGTGCACATCTGACCGCAGATCTTTGACCTCCTTGATTCTGTGATTCCCTCGGGACAGCCTGCGGGTTCCACCCGACCTAGCGTGGCGTTCTCTTCTCGCACCACGAGTATGGGTTTGTCAAGTGCCTTCGGTTCCAACATGACACTGGCGACCATGGCCAATGGAGGAGGTGGTGTTCTGAAACGCCAGGCTCTTGCGCTCAAGAACGATCCTGATGGCAATGGCAAGTTCATTGCTGGTCTGAACGAAATCCGCGTTAGGTCTCGTGAGGATGCCTTAGCCGTTTTCCGTTCTGGTCAGAGTGCGCGACAGGTGTTCGGCACGATGGCGAACCGTGAGAGCTCGCGCAGTCACGGCATCTTCAACATCAAGCTTGTCAGGATCCACAACGGCGCACCAGAGGACCCGGAGAGCGCCAGCGTCTCCCGCCTGTCCATCGTGGACCTAGCCGGATCTGAGCGCACTCGCAACACAGGCAACACCGGTGATCGTCTGAAGGAAGCAGGCAACATCAACAAGTCCCTCATGGTGCGTAAGCGATCGGTATATCACTAACGAATAGGTCCTCGGGCAGTGTCTCGAAGTCCTCCGCGCCAATCAGCAGAAGATGGCGGCCCCAGTCACGCCTGGCCATCGGCGCCGGCTAGCTGTGGTGCCCTTCCGTCACTCGAAGCTGACCGAGATCTTCCAGAACTTCTTCGTCGGTGATGGCCGCGCAATTATGATTGTGCACGTGAACCCCTGCGATACCGGGTACGATGAAAACGCCCACGTCATGCGCTTCAGCGCTGTGGCTCGCGAGATCCAGACGACCACTCAGGTCAAGAGCCACTTCCCTACGCTTAAGCGACATATCAGCACTCAAATTAACGCCTTGAAGACGGCTGTGACCGGGCAAAGAGTCAAGGTCGTTGTCCCGGTCATGCCTAAGGGTCCTAGCGGGATTCCGACGCCGGTTCGGCGGGCCACCAAGTCTAGTCTGCCAGCACCCCCTCCCCCTCCTGCCATTCCCGTCCGAGCGAGCTCCCGTCCTACAACGGCAAAGTCAGCTCCATCTCGCAGCACTACACCCCGTGGCACAACTCCTCGTGTTCAGACGCCACCGGCGTCCGAAAAGCCAGCTACTGCCGAGACTCCATTGAAGAATGAGGTCGTCCAGCAGGTTGAACAGGAAGAGGAGATTGAGGTCATCGAGGAGGAGATCGAGGTAGTCGAAGAGGAGCCCGAGGAAGACGAGGAGGACGAAAAAGACTACTTCGTCGACTACCTCTTCGAGCAGCTTAAGGAGCTTAAGGCGGCTCTTTATGAAAGCGAAATGCGCAACGCTTCCCTGGAAGTGGAGATCCGCGAGGAAGCCTCTCGTGACATGCAAGAGACCATCCAGCGCATGCAGGCGGATTTCAACCGCCGCTTGCTTGAGCAAATGGCTAGTGGCGAGGAGAAGGCGGACATGAAGATCGACATTCTGCAGCGCACCATGGCACCTGACTCCTCCTTCGAAGACTCGTTCGTCAGCGCCCCGGATGAGACTATGGTGAGTCAACCTATTTGGTTTGGGAGTCCCAGCTGACGTGCAAAGGACTCTGATGACGGCACCGAAGTTGGAGAGGCGTCTCTCTCCGACCCCTTCGTTGTTCCCCGGGAGCGCAGCGGACAGATTAACTCCGACGCCGATGACTCCGTCGAGGATTCGCATCTCGAGTCCGAGGAAGAGGAGAGCGATGAGGAGGAAATCGATCAGGAGCTTACCATCGCTAGCGGGGCCAGCGATGTTCTCGGCACTTCCTTCATGGGAGAGCCCGAGATCACCGGCCGTGGCGCTGACGATTCCTTGGCGGAAAGCTCCTTTGCCTCCGATGAGACCGAGTCCGAGGAGGAGGAGGAGGAGGAGGAGGAGGACTCCATCGTTGACCGAAGCGCGCGTCCCGGGGAGGTCGACGAGGAGAACGACGGCTACTCCGACGAGGACGAGTCGGTAGAACAGGGCGACGATTCCATCGTCGTCCGAGGTGCCCCACCAAAGGAAGTGAATGAGGAGGCTGACGGCTACTCAGACGAGGATGAGTCCGAGGAGGAGGAAGAGGCGGAGGAGCAGAGCGGCAGCGAAGGGGATGATGATGAGGAGGAAGAGGAGGAAGAAGAGGAAGACGAGGAGTACGAAGAGTCATCTTTTGACGCGACCGCTTCAACGATCTCCGAACCAACACCTCCGCGCCGCAAGACGGTCTCACCCCGCAAGTCTATGGCCAAGACGCCGTCAAAGGCTTTACCCAAGAAGTCGCTCAGCAAGCCGCTGGGTGAGTCCCTCCGCCAGGCTGTCGTCCGGGAGGAGGACGAAAGCATCGAGTTCATCGAGCTTCTCCAGGGCAAGACGCCTGCGAAGAAGAAGCGCACCTTGGGCAAGCAGAAGATCGTGACCGAGGACGACGTCGGCGCCCCCCTCGCTGGTGCCGAGGTCAGGCGGATGGTTCGCATGTGAGATACCCTGTAGGAGCGATTTCTTGTACTATTTCCTGATGATTGTGTCATGCTATGCTGTAATGTCTTTGACCTGATCATTGTGTCATGCTATGCTGTGAAGTCTTTGACCTGATGCTGAATCCGCTACCCAGCCAAAACCAGCCTCACCTTGAATGCCTCAGTGATCCTTCATAGAAACGGCAGCGTGCGCCAACTATTGCTTCAACCCTCGAGGGGGGACCAAGATGCGATCGACGGTTACCTTCAGCAGAGGGACATTCGAAGTGAACATAAGCTCCTCATTCCCTCACATCCTCACATCGGATGCGCTCTGATAGAGCTTAAATTCTCGCGGGTCAGAGAGAGTGTCATTGCCCGAGCAGGGTATTGATTCCTTCTCAGAAGCTACGCCGAACTCCTCATCCCAGATATGCATAGTCTTCTCAGTGACGACGCCGGCTCCGTACGACATAGAACACACAGGATATGTCGTCTACTGCGCACAAACTCTCTGAGTGCCAATATCAGGGGCTCCACGAGACGATATGAAGCCTCATGATCAGCTATAGAGGGCCTCGAACAGAGTAAGACAGTCATTAACACAGCTTCACTAAAGGCACGCATCCCGCTCCGTCGTCGGGGGCGGTCATCCACAATTGACCGAGATTGGCTGCTGATTAAGGGAAGTCACCGCAAAGCATCCAACGTGAATCTTAAACGCATCGCATGCTCGTTTCAAGTTGAATTGGTTTACGCTATTGCACAGCATCGGTTCGAAGTATGGCTGAATCTGGGGCTACGGCATACTATGTCCGCTACGCGACACTAAAGGGCGTACACCTGAAGTTTACCTGTACTCCAGTTCTGTTAGTTGCTGTGCAGCTTCTTTCCGAGAGAGCTCAAAGAGTCTGCCGACTACATACATAAGGCTACAGAAGTTGAGGGAAAGAGGCAACTTATCCCCACTCATCTAGCTCTTCGACATCATGTTGGCTCTCTGGAGTTTGATGGCCGCTCTTGTGGTTACAGCTGCCTTCGCTGCGGACGACAGGAAGCCAGTCACGCGATCCAACCCTCCTTGATTCTGTGATTCCCTCGGGACAGCCTGCGGGTTCCACCCGACCTAGCGTGGCGTTCTCTTCTCGCACCACGAGTATGGGTTTGTCAAGTGCCTTCGGTTCCAACATGACACTGGCGACCATGGCCAATGGAGGAGGTGGTGTTCTGAAACGCCAGGCTCTTGCGCTCAAGAACGATCCTGTCATCCACAATTGACCGAGATTGGCTGCTGATTAAGGGAAGTCACCGCAAAGCATCCAACGTGAATCTTAAACGCATCGCATGCTCGTTTCAAGTTGAATTGGTTTACGCTATTGCACAGCATCGGTTCGAAGTATGGCTGAATCTGGGGCTACGGCATACTATGTCCGCTACGCGACACTAAAGGGCGTACACCTGAAGTTTACCTGTACTCCAGTTCTGTTAGTTGCTGTGCAGCTTCTTTCCGAGAGAGCTCAAAGAGTCTGCCGACTACATACATAAGGCTACAGAAGTTGAGGGAAAGAGGCAACTTATCCCCACTCATCTAGCTCTTCGACATCATGTTGGCTCTCTGGAGTTTGATGGCCGCTCTTGTGGTTACAGCTGCCTTCGCTGCGGACGACAGGAAGCCAGTCACGCGATCCAACCCCGTGCCACAAACCCTCATCACGCGCGCTGAACTCGTGCCGCAAGACCACGTACTGCAAGCATACCCCGCGAACAGCTTCAACGACGGCTGGGCGAAGCACCTCACAAAACATGAGGCTCAGATTCAGAGCTGGAATGACAAGCAGCCCGATCTGATCCCGCTATACTGTTACGACAACGCAAAAGGGGCTGATCTTAGCCCGTACGACGTCGAGGTCTATGACTTCAAGTACGACGACTGCGACTCACGATGGACCATGTGTCGGCACAAGGATGCGGAGTGGTCGATTGAGGACCTCGGCCACCGCTTCGGTTTGCTGCCCGTGTGGGCACGTGGGCTCGTCGCCAACGTGCTCCTCCTGCCTCTTCCAGGTGGCACGGCCGCTTCCACAAACGGAGGCGGCCTGCAGTTAAAGGGCGACGCTGATCTTGGTTCCCTGTTCCACGAGGTCGGGCACAGTGTGGACACGAACTGCCCATTCCCCGGGCGTACGGACACCCAAGAGAACTCTCACGACACCGAGGAATGGATGGACGCCTTCCACAAAGACGGCTGGGTGCCTAGCCCCTTGGCCAACGGAGGCTTGGGCGACGACTTCGCCGAGGTCTACCTGCATGCCCTCTACGATGTCAACGTACCTGGTGGTCTTGCTAGCCTCGGCACGCAGTCCGATGGCAAGAACAACTGGGACCTGATCAAGAATCAGTTAGACCTCGTGAAGCGCTACTGCAAGGCTGCGCTTTCTGCCGGATCTGGTGACAAGTGCGAGAACAAGAGGGAGTCGACGGAGATCATCAAGAAGGACGGCAGCAGGCTGCAGGGCGGCAGTCGCAAGCTCGGTCCCAAGCGTATGCCCGCTTCGTCCCAATAGGCTAGCCATTACTGTAATACGGTGTATGAACTCGTTAATCAAAATCTATCCGATGCTCTGCAAACAGTCCTCCGGTCCGCTACCCGCTTGGAGTCACGTATCTGCCTCAGACACCCGTCACTTTGATTATCTTGCCTTAGAATCGCCTAGCCTTCGGAGGTTCATCGTCAACAGACGCCGGGACATCCAGTGTTAAGAGCCACTCAACGGTCATTTCGACCCCAGTAAGGCCCCGTATGATGGACTAGATGACTCAGTCAACTCTCGGGAAAGCGTTCGCAGCGGCGACCGCTTTACACCTTCGCCTCACCTTTACCCTGCGAACAGCGGACAGGATCGAGAGGACCGTTCCCGCAAGCATGCATACGCACGCACAAGCGGGGTCGACGCCGCTCCTTCCGAGATAGGCGCAACGTTAAGACCACCGCTCGCCAAAGACGGTCACACACCTTCGGTGTTCTATCCGAAAGCCCTTTCATATTGCAGCAGGCAACTGCCCCCTCGGTCCGGCGCGGGCACGTCTCAAAGTTGCCCGCGGCCATTCCAGGTTGTCTTTAATTAGCTGTGCTGAAGTGCAGGAGCCCGGTGCATGACTCAGAACAGGTATGCCTTCCCGAACCAATGGGTCACCTGAGAGCCTTTGAGACCTGACGAATGGAAGTTCCTATTCGATATGCCTCAGAGAACCGGCTGACCAGGACCGAAAACGCCAACGGCTGAGTGAGCTCGGCGAATCCCCCGGTTGCTTCACGTCAGAGGGCGGTGAAGGCAGGCATGACCGCAGATCAGACCTTCTCTATAATTGATCGCAGTCCCCTTCTTTCACTAGCCTGCCCTTGGGCTTTGATCTAGTCGTCGTCAACTTTCGTAACAGGAGGAGCAGCGACGTCCCGCGCTGCTCAAACGGGCACTGACCGTCTGCCATGTGGTTTAGACCAATTCAGTTGACCACCGCGTTATCGGCGCGGCGAATCGCGAACACGCTTCTGGCTTCAACGCGGTTTCGGCCAAGGATATACAGGCACCCGGGTCATGCGCAGCAGCTGTTCACTTTGAAGGAACATCCTTAGTCTCGGGGGAACACATGCACATCCGCGGTTCTGAGTCGCGATGACGATTCTGATTGGGTGAGGAGGGCGGCGAAGGGGAATTGACCGCGATGATAGAAGCTGAGCCAACGCGGTCGCTTACGGGCTTGGACAATTGACCGATTTCAGCTCATCAGCAGTTCATATCCAGATTGACGCGCACCGAAAGCCGACAAACGTTTGATGTAAGACCGGGTGAAAGCCGTCGGAGGCTCACGTATAAAAGAGGACCACCTCAGTCTTGTGTTCAACATCAGCTCAGCTCAAGTCCCTCACCGAAGTCGACACGCACTCTCACCATGCTTGCCCTCTGGAGCCTTCTATCGATTCTCGCCGTCACCGGCGTTAGCGCCGCAACCCCCGACGAGGACCTCAAGAACCGTCCCATCATCAACAGCTACCCTAATGGCAAGATCGACAATGACCTCTTCTCCACTCTGCAGAACCACGCCAAAGCCCCTTGGCAGTGGGTTTGGCCCGACTCGAGCCAGAACGTCAGGGACTCCATCCCTCGTGCTTGCTATGACCACGCCCGGCGTGAGAATCTCGACCCCAAGGACGTGTCCGTTTATGACCTCAACCACGATGACTGCGGCCTCACCCACCGGCTGTGTCGCCACAAAGACGCCAAAATGTCCGTCGAGAAGGTCGCCGAGCACGTTGGCAGACTCCCCGCTAAGCTCCGTGCGCTGGTTCAGAACATCTTCATTGCTCCTGGAGCGGAGAGTGCTTACTACTCTGGTAACATCATCCTGTACCGCGGCGATCTGAACCTGGGCTCCCTGTACCACGAGTTCGGCCACGCCCTCGACGACCACTGCCCCTTCCCCGATAAGAAGAAGCTGGCCCACGACACTCAGGCCTGGATCGACGCCTTCTACAAGGACGACCACGTCACGGATGAATACGCGAAGAGCAACCAGGGCGAGAACTTTGCCCAGATCACCGTCCACAGCCTGTACGACCTCAATGTCCCCGGCGGCATCTCCAACCTCGGCACGCAGACCGACGGCAGGAACAACTGGGACCTCTATGACGACGAAAGGCACGCCCAGATGCAGTACTGCAAGGAGTACCTTGCCGCTAATAATGGTGCCAACTGTGGCAACGTCAAGGATGACTGGGACTTTGTCAACAAGAACACTGGCGAGAAGGTTGAGAACCCCTACGTCTAAACGGCCGTCTCACTAATAGTGATGGAGATCTAGAGATTCTGTGATCCATATAATAGCTTTGGTGCGAGTTCAGAATGCAACTGCGGATGAAGACAGCTAGCGTGGAATTCTGGCGCCACTGCGGATAAGATTGCTGGGCTCTCGCTGCGGATACCCCGATCGAGACGCTTACTGCATTTTATGAATATTATCAGTTTACCAGTGCCACTGACCGCAGGCGCTTGCCAAAACTGGTCCAACATGTTGGCACACCTACGCGGCGCCCAGAGTCCATGAGACTGTTCAAGAGAGAGGGGGTAGTGCAGTGTCGCAGAACCGTAGCAGCAACCGAAGGCGAGTCATGTGTGATCGTATACGGAAGCGCCTGAGAGAGGCGGTGCTGATGGTTTTGCATCCGGTTCCTACCTCGGCGCCGGATGTGACCGTGGCGTTTGTGAGCGGCGTGCCGAAAAGATTCGCCGATAAGAGAGGCGCTGGTATACTGCCTCGGGGAGCTTCACAACCCACTCCGTTTTCACTCCTCCGCTTTTCACTTGACACCTGCACTCGGCGCTCGTATCGAACTCCGAGCCACTAGGGGCCCCGTAAACTCAGCACGCACCCGTCATCCACACGGACCGCTGGGAAGTCACCTATAGACAATTGTCGCCGTACTGAATGCATGATCGCACAGCCATTGACCGCATCATCGAACCCCTCCGAGCTCAATATTAGGACGCGTAGTCGTAATGCCACAATCGACAGAGATTCGGGTGTTCGCTGCGATTGTTGCTTCGACGGCCTCTGGCCCTCACCACGTCTAGCACCTGGCCAGACACATGAGCAGCTGACATCAAGGGCATCACACATCCATGCTACTTCCGAAGCAGGGACTGGCTATTTTCGCGCATCAATTGCTGCCATGAGGTCACTCGACGGCGATCAGGAGTTCACCGACATTCATTGAACCTTAGCGCTCTCATACGCAGTGATCCACGTGCACATCTGTGTTAGCATCAAGGACGAGGAGGAGTATCATAGCACGATCTTTGTTGGGCATCCCTTTCGTCACGGTCAAGATCACCACAGCTTCGCACACTATGTTCACTCTCTTGAGTCTCTGCATCCTCGCGGCTGCCACCGCCCGAGCCGGCGACAGCGATCACGAAATGCAGACCCGCCCAAAGATCAACCCCTATCCCCCTGGGTCACTGAACTCTCGTCTACTCGCGGGCACGCCAGAGCACGACTCATCGGTGAAAAACTGGACCGAAAGCGCGACTCTCCAGGACGCAATCCCCTGGGCCTGCTACGACGCTGTCAAGCGCGAGGGCCTGAGCCCGGCCGACGTCGAGGTCTTCACGGTGACATACGACGACTGCAGCACTCCTTGGGAGCTCTGTCGTCACAAGAACGCCGAGCGGAATCTCCCAACGGTGACCAGCCTGCACAGCAAGATCCCTGTCAGAGCGCGCGACCTCCTCCCGTACGCACTACACCTGCCCGGACCCGAGCGTGCGTACCGCACGTCAGAAATCCTCGTTCTCGGCGGCAAGCCCGACTTCTCTGCCATCATGCACCAGGTCGGCCACGCCATTGATGACAACTGCGCGTTCCCTGGCAAGGACCGCCGCTGTTCGGATACCGAGACGTGGCGGAACGCATTCGACCGCGATACCTACGTGGTGGACGACATCGCTCGCACAAGCCAGGCAGAGAACTTTGCTCAGATCGTCATCCACACCGTCGTGAACCTCAACTTCCCCGGAGGGCTCGCCTCAATGGGCGCCACTACAGATGGACAGTTCAGCCAGAACCTGTACGACGATGAGGTCAAGGTCCAGACGCAGTACTGCGGGCCGTACCTCGTCGCCAACCCTGACGACAAATGCGATAACTTCCGCCCGAAGCGTGAATATGTCTCCAAAAGTACTGGTGAAAAGATCGAAGACCCCTTCAAGGCCACCTAAGCCTCCAACGATCAAATCTCGGCAATTCGGGCTTCCGCAATCTTGATAACGATATCAATGGCGGTCACTCCGTCCATAGCGGGCCAAGGCAGATCGCGAAGGTTATACAGGACAAGGAGGTTCACGATAGGCACAATGCAGCAGTCTAATCTACATGCTGGGGGTGAGGGCCATGATGAGGTTCTGCCTTGACTTTCACCACATCGCCAGAACGTGACACTGCACGGCGTGGCATATTCTGTGTCAGCGCCGCAATCGTCTTCTGCCCATGGGTCTGAACGTGTACGCTCACAAGACGTTGCTAACCTCTGCACAGTACTCGAGACTCAGACTGAGTGCTGCCCCGACTCAGCTACGGAGCGGCTAAGTGCACCGTCCACAACGTCAGCAAGCGCGACTTCAGAGGGATTCGAAGTGTGTGGGCCAGCGCAGGGAGAACCTGACGGTACGACCGCAGTCTTAACCCTTCAAACGCCGTAGATCTGAACCACACCTGCGATCGGTGCGCCCTAGTGAGATCTCATGCGCAGTTAGCTTGGGCAGCAGCACGCCAAGAATCACGTGAGACTGCCAATGACGCATCTCGTAGCTGGCGCGGTCGCGCGGGCACTGTGCAGCCGCGTACGAGCCGGTCAAGACATGCCGGTGAAGTTCCGGTGCGATGCCGGTGCCGCGCCGGAGTTCCTAACGCAGCTGATCACAGCTGTCCGGATCAATCTGAACATCACTCATAATCCCATCGCGAGGCATTTCTTTCTCTTCTTTCCTACCACCCACCGCCTCCCTTCTTGTGCTCCGACCTGCATTGCGACGGGCAACCTCCTTTCTTGTCTCCTTCCTATCCACGCCTCACTTGTCACTTGTCCCCGGTCACCGCGATGCCGACCCTCGACAATGTTACCCTCATATCTTCGAAGCCGTGTTCGCCTTCGCGGTAGCAGACGGCGACGTGCGCATCATGTCTCGCCTGCGTGGTGTTTGCCGCGAGGTGCGCGACCACATCGACCGCATCTGGTACCATGCCATCGTCGACGATAGAGGTATCCACGACCTTGGTGTCTTCCGCGATCGTCCTGTCGCCCGCGTTTCTCTCCCTGCTGGAGCCGCCTACCCCGCGCTGCTCGACATCCGCCTCACTGGAGTCTGGTAGTACCAGCTCCCTCTGCGTCCTCTTGGCCTGCGCGTGCTCTCTCACCCTTGTCCTCCCTTCCGGGGCGACTGCTACCTCTCCGCGTGTGAGGTTTGTGTGCTTCACGGCACAGGAGCTAGGCTGCTGTCGTACTGCGACTCGCCCGTTGTGATCATCCGCATCACGGTGGGCAGCCGCGAGATGGCCCGCGGCGAACTGAAGACCAGCTATCCTTCCCCCGTGCCCGCCCGCGTGAAGCATGTTGTGCTGCTCTTCCAGGTCCAGAGGCCCTGGTCATTTTCCCGGACGAGTCTCTGGTTCGTGCTCGCGTGTACGACACCTGTGCTCCACGACTTGCGTGCATGGCAGACACTCAGCATCGTGATTCAGGACGGCGACACGAGCTTGCCCGAGCACAACGCCTCGCCCAGCGACTTCGATTTCGACCCCGAGCAGGAAGAGGCATACCGTGATGTCGCCCGCGTCGCCGACATCGTCAACAGCGCGTTCCTGGCCCACAGCTACGTCAAAGCGATCATGGACCCGCATCGAGACGCCTTCACGCCCTACAACTCGCCATCAGGATCCGGCAGCAACACTCCACCCACTCCGCTAGCGTGGCAGCCAGGCCGCGATGAGCAGTTCCGATGCCAGGGCTTCGACCCCGACCTCCTCCCCACGCGCCGGCAACTTGCGTCCTGCCTCAACGTGTGCGGTCCGTGGCGCAATCTGACGATGTGGGACCACCCCATCAACTTTGCTGGCAGGCTGGCCGCCTTCGACCCTCACGTCCGCTTCATGACCATGACGGATCTGAGCCGCATGATCGGATCGCAGATGATGCCCTATGTGCTGGACTTGGGCGGCGATGTTGTGTTTGCGCCGATTCTTGGGCCGGCGTCGCAGTGAGAAGGGAGATGTGCCTCTCAAGTGTCTTGTTCTGGATATTAGTCTGAGTAATGACTGTGCTTTAGTTCCTGTCGAGTCTTAATAGCCCATAGACAATGCAATCGTGAACCTCTGCCGTATTGCAGGTCTCGTGCCCACACTACTTCTGGTCGCCCGCTCCATAGTGGTCAGATTCAGGCACCTCAACCTCCACCTCCACCCGAAATTTCACCCACGACCCTCACCACGACGCCTCAACCCCCCAACCCTTGCCAAACGTCCAACGACCTTTCTCCCTCGCTCCCAACTGAGTCCCAGTGCACAAGAAGCTCCGGAGGAAGCCAAAAAGGTCCTCGCCGGGATTTGAACCCGGGGCCACTCCCAATCCGTCTCCCAAGAGGAGACGAGGAGGCAAAGCTCAAGATGTTAGATCACCCTAAGAGAGTATGATAACCACTACACCACGAGAACGTCCTGTTTCTGGACGAGAATTGGGCGCACCGGCTCAGTTATGAGTCTCCCAGTGCCACGTGAGACGTTGGAGGGATGCTGAGCGCTTGGAGTTCAGGGAGGCGAGTGCAGTTAGGATTAGACGACGGAGAGCTGCGAGGAAAGGCGGTCGATGGTGGGGCACAGCGTTTGGAAAGGCGGGTGATGCGACGAACCTCCGGCTCTATGATCTGTTGTGAGCAGCAGAAACCCAATGATGATTGCGCAAGTCCGGCCGTTGCGATGGCGAGAGGTCGCTGTGTTCAGTTTGATATGTCGGTCCCTGGCCCTTCTGCTACTTTATCATAAATCTTGAATCTCCATCACAGAACATTGCCTGTGCCATCTTTCGCCCTCCGCCCCATCATGCAGAGATGTGAATGCAATGCATGCGCTCTCATACGCAGTGATCCACGTGCACATCTGTGTTAGCATCAAGGACGAGGAGGAGTATCATAGCACGATCTTTGTTGGGCATCCCTTTCGTCACGGTCAAGATCACCACAGCTTCGCACACTATGTTCACTCTCTTGAGTCTCTGCATCCTTATCCCCACTCATCTAGCTCTTCGACATCATGTTGGCTCTCTGGAGTTTGATGGCCGCTCTTGTGGTTACAGCTGCCTTCGCTGCGGACGACAGGAAGCCAGTCACGCGATCCAACCCTCCTTGATTCTGTGATTCCCTCGGGACAGCCTGCGGGTTCCACCCGACCTAGCGTGGCGTTCTCTTCTCGCACCACGAGTATGGGTTTGTCAAGTGCCTTCGGTTCCAACATGACACTGGCGACCATGGCCAATGGAGGAGGTGGTGTTCTGAAACGCCAGGCTCTTGCGCTCAAGAACGATCCTG